AAAGGAAATCAGTGCATGGTCCTCGAAAAAGAGAAAAGGTACGTACACGGTGAGCGCATCGACTGGGCTTGTGCGGGTCCAGAAGTGGACGTAATGCTAGAGCAGAGACTTCTTCGACTGAACTCAGGTATGGAATCCAGGCATTTAACAGAGAGTCCCGTAATTCTATTCATTTTCTCAGATACTCTCATTTAATGAACAAGTGGCATTGACAAAAAATGGCTCACGGTGTCCTCCAAGTTCCATCCAGACGGCAATTTTCCCTTCTTGCTCCACTTGTCGAGCCGTTTTACACGAGAGCAAAGGCAAAATTTTCTTCAAAATCTTATACTTCCCCCAAATGAAAAATGCACGCACGAAGAACTAGCAAAGCCCTAGGAAAGTGTGGGATTTTCTGTCGAATTATGTTGAAAAAGATTAACATATTTTATGCATTCACGAGAAATTTCGTTCTGCCAAGACCGTGGCTCTATTTAAAAAAAAAAATCGAAACAATCGGGCATCCATCGATGCATATTGCATCTCCCCACTTTCAGCAGTTTGGAAAATATTAGTTTTTGATATAGTGGATTAGGTGAAACCAATAGAACCAACTTTTCTCAATATACGGAAGTCTGCTGCTTCTCGTCTCTCTTGGCATATTCCTCAGCATTTTTGAGAAAAAGTTCTCGGATAATCTGGAAGCACAATCACGCATCAAATTTTGGGAAACAAAAGGCAGAAACATTGATTGGCACCAAAGAAGGCAAACTTCCCCACCGTCATGCATCTTGGATGAAAGCGATGTGTCAATGGACGTGGCATCTCGACTTCCTCTCTTCCGGACCGTCAAATCTAGTCTCTGTAGATCTCGTTGGAAGACTCGTCAAATTTTGCTGACTAGTAGTACTGACATGAAAATTGTTCACCGATGGGCAATGAACCGTCAAGAGGAGAGAAGTTGTTGTGGGAGATGATGGCGAATATGACAAATTTCTAGTCTTTGGAAAAGAGGAAACTGTGGAATACTGATACTATTCTATGGACCTGACAGAACGTTTGATAATATAACTTACCTCACATATTCTTTCAGCTCTACATCCTGCATTGCTTCTACTGTGGAACGATGGCACCCCTTCTCTACTGCCTTCTACCTGGTAAAAGCTTCACCGTGTACATGAAAATTTTCAATTTTCTGAAGGAGAAGAGTACTGCTTTTGGAATCGAGCTGAAGCCGTCAAAGGCTTTAGTCGATTTCGATGCCTGCATTGCTGGACAGAAGTTCTGTTTTAGTGCTACTACTGTGAAAGGATGTTACTTCCACTTCACCTAAGCACTGTGGAGGCAAGTGCAAGAGTTAGGGCTCGCCAATCGCTCTAGAAGCGATGCTATATTTCGACTGCGGGTCAGGAATATTGCTGCTGTCTCTTCTTCCCACGCACTTGGTGAGTCCTTCTTGGGAAAAGGCGTACTGAAGTGTCATCAAATATCCGATCCGATCCAATCTATGCAACGAGGTCATCCGATGACTTCGTTGCTTACATTGGGGAAGATTTGGTTTTAAACTCGTTTTCCGGTTATTATTCGTAATACTTATTAACAATATTTAATATTTATCATTATGTCGTTTTCTGGTTTTCTTCTCCTGTGCATAAATATTGCGTTGCAGTTCCACTCATTGTATGTCTGTTCGTGTCCGGCTTCCGAAGCTGAACTAAGTGTCCAAGGCTTTGAATCAGACACTCTATTGGTTCTGTTAAAGCCTCTGATGGAGTGAAGTTGAACGTGAAGATTCCTTCAGAAGAAAAAACTCTCGATCGTAATATGAAGAGTGACTGCCGAAGTTGTGGGAAGGGAGAAGGAGGGTGCATATTATGGCACTCATCCCTGGCAACCGCAACTTCTTGGCTACCATTTCGTCAATCCGTCGAGAGGTAAAAAAAAAAAAAAAAAAAAAAAGGGGGAGGGAGAGAAAAAACAGGATGGAAGACGGAAGGTTAGGTGAGGGGGGAAACGAAGAGAGGAGAAAGAATGAGTCATTAATTGCGAACGCTTCAAGACGCATCCTCACGTCACTGCAAGATTTTATCTAATGTTGAGAGGGAAAAAAATCACTTAAAAATTTGGCGCTTTTCCAATGCTTCATGTGAACATTTCCACATCGAGTATACCCTGTTTACGAATGTTATTTGAATGGCCAGTTGTAATATGACGCCTCACGAGATCTTGATGCCCGAAAGGATGCCAGCGTAATGGAGATTCAAAAGGTTAACAGTGGAGACTTTGAACATCTTCTATGACCTTCATCCCTCTCTCCCAAACTTCAATCGCTGGCAATATGTAAATATACCCAAATAGCACATAACATTGATTCAACGTTGACAAGGTGTGGATTGAATGCATCTCTGCTGACGGTTTATACCTCCATGTTAATGGAGTCAATGCTGCTCTATTCACGATAGAAGTATCCATATTAAATCTACCTTGAGTCATTGGATTCATTTGCAATAGAAGATCCCTCGAGTGTTGTGTCTACCGTTAGGACTTTTTAATGTGTACTCCATCAGGGTTTGTCAAATAGTTCAGCCAATCTGCCAGAATGCATTTCGATCAAGAAAACGTTCGATTTAGTGAAGATAAAATAGTGGCTGAAAAGACGCTTAGCGCAATTTTTTCGCATAAAATAAGCAGAAAGGCCACTTGGAATAAACAATTTCTCGTGTGCATCTGACAAGGTAAAGTCGACGGAATATTTAAAAAGTAGTTATTAGAGATATTAGTTAGAGGGAAACAATATATATTTTTTGTATTTTCTTTAAGGTAATAAATCGATTAACTCGAAGACATGTTCAGATCTAGGAATCTATCTTACTGATGAACGAAAATGTCTGTGTGAGGCTGCTTCGGTATGACCCCTGATCCTGAAACTTTAAACTTAAGCTTACTAGGGGTGGGGCATCAGGACGACTAAGTTTGGTGGCCCCGTGACAGATGGGTCACAAATGGGACGAAAAATAGATTCATTGCTTTAGGGGTCACCCCCTGAATTCGTTGGTTAAATTCATTTTCTTATTTGATTCCAATATCTTTGAGATATTGGAATCAAATCCCATCATTTTTAGAGGCATTCTCCTGGTCGGAGAAATCCTTCCCACCCATCGGATCCGACTGAAACCGCCATCGATGGAAAACTTGAAATCTCGGGATGTACCGCGTCACATTTTCGTCGCGTTGCTACGAAAACTCTGTAAGCTACCAGCGAAATGTTTTCGCAAAGTTTGAGGATCAGTCGCTCGATTGATAGCATGTTGGGCTCATGTGACGGGGGGGGGGGGGGGGGGGGGGTTCTAAATATGACTGAGTCAGAACTTATTTTTGCCGACATAATTACCGACATGTTGACAAACATGTCGGTGCCTATATCAGCAAAAATAACTTCTGTCAAGCAGAATAAGTTGTGTTATGACAAACATGTCGCGAAATTACACGGTGTCTTCAGTCATAATCTCAAATTTCATGGCAATACGTCAGGCTGTTCTGGAGTTTTACCATGTTCATTTAATAAAGTTACGTTCTGAACTTCCTTAGGATAATTGCAATTCGATTGACTCAATATGCCAGGACCGGGCACCATCTGTACAAATGGCAGTACAAAGACAATCCTGCCTGCGACTGCGGACATCCAAACCAGATCGTGGAACACAGTGAACCACTGTGGAACGCGAAAATTCGGCAGAGGAATCGCAGCGCTACACGCACTGGAAAAGGACTCCGAAACCTGGCTATGGAACTTGGACCTGAATGTATAGTTTGCTAATGCCATACGCAAGAAGAAAAATTGACTCAATATTTGTTTTTAAGACTGTCATACGGAACCTTGTTGAACTGAGTTGACGATTTTGTTGGCCTACGAGGTATATCCTGACGGGCGAGGCTGGCGGTCGCCTGAACCTGCGAGAAGATACACCCCTGCTATAGTAAGTGAAATTCATGCAATTCCAAATCCACACTTTTCTTAGGTATCGTTGCATCGTAGTGTTCTCACCGGCAGGAAAAAAAAATTTTTCGCGCTAGAAAGATAAATAGATGTATTTATTTAGAACGCACCTCCAGTCGTGTAAATGTGTTGAGCTTGAAAGTAGGCTTCATCCGGCCTCTGTCGATTTCACTTTTCGCGTTTCGGTGATACGTTTTCACTCTTTAAGGGAGCAAGCTTGAGTCGGAATCGCGGATACTTCCATTGTATTCTCCATCGTTTTCCTTTACGTTTGGCCGTGAAAAGTAGCACATGCATTGTTCACAAAGCAGTGCAAATATACAAGGTGTAGCAAAAAATACCTCCCAGATTTGAATCTGCTCACACTGCGACTATTTCCACAAAACTACAGACACGCTGTGCATGCACTGATATGTTCACAGGAGATATATGAAATATCATTCAAATCTATGTTGCCGGGGCAACGCTATGAGAAAAATATTAAAAGGAAAATTTGGACAATGAACAGGACTTGATAGTACAGTGGTTGAGTTGTGCCCCTCCAACCCCTCCGAGTTATCGTTACGCATCATCCAAGCCACCTATCCATCAAAATTCCTTCTTTGGGCTGATCATTCGCAAGTCGTTTTAATATGTCTTTTCTAATTAATAATGGATGAATCAATTGGTAGGGGAGAGTGGGGTAATACCGGACGGCGGGTAAATCTGAGCAGCGCGAAATATCCTATTTAGAATGCGCATGGCTACCAGCCACTTGTGCTGCTGCATTGGCCTGATCAACAAGTTTGATAACCAATTGTGAAAGTTTTCCTGACTTGAACAGCTTTCCGAAATAAGCAATATCTTCATTTTAAACTCATTTGAAGTAAGAAACTGTTCGACTTGTGTTGCCTGCCTTGGTGTTGCATCAAAACTGACCGGTTCGAGCAATTTCGCGTGGAGAAGAGGAATTACTGTTTTTACGAAAAGTGACTGGATCCGCCATATTTGTCCTTTAGCTAGTCTGTGAGAGAGGACTTTTTGAATGTCAAGTGTTGTGGGGTAAATCCGGACTGGCGAAGGGGGGGAAAACGAACGTTTGGTTTTACTCCACATTATTCTCCATTGGCATTGTAGAAAGTACGAATTACTGTATACTACCCCGGTAATATTAATGTTGTCCTATTTTGTGGAATTACGTATTATAATGCTTCATAGATGCAGCACAAGTACCAAAAGAACATAAAAACAATCGGAGTCGAGAAGATCTTGAGCATGCCATGCGTGCCTTGCGGAACGGCGAAAAGATTTTAACACTCCCAACTGGGGATATCCGAAAGAAAAAGCCAGGAGGAAGAAAAGCTGGTAAGTCAGAACTGTTGACTGCAACTCACATGATAGCGGTTTTGGAAGAGAAAGAAGTCAAGAGAGAGAAAAAGATCTTTAAGCAAAAAGATTCTCATTCAGCTAGTGATATTGCAACTAGGAACCAATCTGAATCTGACTCCTTTCCAGCTGCTACCCAGTTGGAATGGGTCCGAATTTCCAGCTGGGATTCAGCTGGAAATTATAGCTGTTTTCAGCTGGAAATTATAGCTATTTTCAGCCGGAATTTCACGCTGGGTCGGTACATAGTAGCTGATAGGATGCTGAGTTCAGAATAAATCCGACTTTGGAGGTACATGCCCTAGGGGCATATTTTTTGGGGGGACGTTTTTAAATAAATATTTTTGCTTCAGTCAAGCAGAGGGACATGGAAACCTGAAAATAGGCATGGACGTATCTACCGATATGCTGATTTCAGGAAAATTTTCACTTTACAGATATATCCCCTAGGGGCCTATTTTTATTTATTTATTTTCTTTTTTAGGAAAAGACGTTTTGTAAGAATTTGTAAATCAGGCAGAAGGATTGATAGAAGGTGAAATTTGGTACAGAATTAACTGCTGTAATGTTCAGGAAAACTCGATTTCGAAGTTCATACCCTCAGGGCAAAAATTTGATTGGAACCTATTCCCCAGATACATTTTCGCTGCAGTGAGACGGATAAAAATAAAGAAACTAATATTTGGAAATGAATTTGTTCCTGGGGCTTTTATTTCAGGAAAAATACTATTTTGAGGTATATACCCTCTGGGCATATTTTCTGGGGGCAAGAATTTCTGGGAATTTTTTACACAGGGAAAAATGGAAATAGAGAGAGGCATTATTCAGTACTCTAGTAGTTCGTCACATTCTGATTTCATGGTATTTTTTACTTATGGGTTCATCACCTCAGGACACAGTTTTCAAGAGGGACGCATTTGAAGTAAATTTGTTAGTTCTTTGGAAAAGGCAAATATTGAAAGTGGAAATTTGATTTCACACGACCAGAAATAACATGAGGCCACATTGAAAATTGTTCATTACTCAAGGAGTTTTACAGCATTGGTAGGTGTGAGAATAAAAACCGAAGCTTAAAATGTATTAGAAATTTTCATTGAGCTTAGAGCGCCGAATGGGTGTCCATAGTGAGTTTCTTTTACCCGGGGGGCAAATAAACTCGTTAGTATATATTGAAGGTTTGGTAGATATGATTTCAAGGTTTGGAAAAGGACCTAAACAATATGGCGTTCTGCTGGATGGCGTGTGTCGTGCTTGAACCCGCCTGTCTCATGCTCTTCTTACGGAAAGATTTCCTTATCTTCACCATAACTTATGTCTCAGTGTTGAGTCTGTTGGGAGACGTTGGTAGTATAGTGGAACGATGGTCTCTACTAAACTTAGGCCTATGATAGGCTAGCAGGTTCAATGTTCGAATAGGGATGTTGAGAGGCACTCTTGCCCTTAGTGTTAGAACTTCTCATGTCATGCTCTATGTTTCAAATTAGGTAAAATATCACCATACTTCGTAATGACAATTTTTTTGGGGTATCCATCTACTGCCTAGTTACAGCAATGTTGCACCCCTTTTATTTTTTGCGTTGTCCACAACCCCTTTCGAAAGGTAATTACAGAAGCACTACAACACCAAACGTACCATTTAATTGAATATATTCTGTCATTGGGAATATGGAGTTTATTGAAAGATGACAATGTTACATGACTTTGACTAGGAGAGTTCAACAAACATTTGATTGTACAAGACATGATTCAGGGAAATGTTTTATGTACAATGAACCATGACTCCAGCATCACCTTCATCACAAGTTTTTGTCACTAGCATCAGTTAGGCCAAAAATAAATCTCACTTACTTATATAAAACAATGTCTGAGTGTGACTAGTGAGGGTGGGAAGTGAGACAAAATTTGATACGTTAGGAGGAAGGTTCAGGGAGAGAGTGAACATCTTCTGGGACATGAATATAAAATGACAAGCCCCATGTTAATGTGTTTCTTTGGTTTAAGTGGTGATATTGATTTTGCCATGTGTATGTCTTATTTGTGCTGAGTGTTGTGTGAGTGTTGAAATAATGAAAGGTGAGACATTGTTAGGAACCTTGATCATTAAAAATTTTGCTAATGCAGTTACTGCAATGGAACATGGGCTTAATGTGTTAACAAAAAAAGCTTAACAATTTTTTAGACTTTTTTTTAGGTAGTTTTGCTCATGTGCTCATGCATAGAAACCATATTTTTTGTGGAGGTATATAATATGCAGAAGCCCATCCCTCAAACCTGATTAGTCCCATATTTAGAACATACATGTTACCCAGATGTTTAACACTTTAGCTGCTGAATTTTGCACAGGTGGTTTGAAACCCTGTGCAGTTTTTTCTGCAGGCAGTACAAGGTGCCGCACGATTCTCTATTGTGCTGTCTTTCACAATTCATTTCAAGTCTTGTATTCATCATGTATACATGACAGCAGCAGCAACAATTAGAAAATTCAATATGTGTATGCTCCTCAATAGTGGTGAGGGCATTTCTTTTGCTGACACCTTTATATGTCAGTAGTAGTTCATGAGTTAATGCATGAATAAGCCTCATATGGATTAAGTGCTTTAACTCATAGAACAGGATCCTTGTAGAACTTGCTCCTAGAAGTTGTCTGCTTTTCTTTGTTCAATATTTTAAAGGGGTTATGGTGTACACCTTTTCTAACATCGCTCTTTTCGATAAAATATCTATGAAAGAATGTTAGTGTAGTGTTTAGTTTTGATTTATTTATGGACTTCATTTAGGTATTCAATTGCACCAGGTACAGTACTATTGGTACCAGACTCTATGCTGAATACATGGCTCTGACCCACTATTGTCTGTTTGCAAATCTGGAAAAGGACCTTTGAAAAATGCATTTTAGTGATGATGATAGACTAAAATCAACCATGCAAGAATGATTTGACAGCAAGAAGAATCTTTTTACAAATCCAGCATTAGAATGTTGCATGAACTATTGCAGTAAAATAAAATCTGTGCATGCTTCATTTGTGGGCAAGGCTGAGAACTTATTGATGGACCTGGTATAAAAGGAAGATCAACACCGTTTTGTGGAAATGTTTTGCGTGTAAAGGTTGATAGAATATAAGCATTAGGCTTGGCCATCCTAGAACATTTCAAGCTTGTTTCAATTATAGACATTATGAAACTCTGTTCTGTTGACACTGAAGGAATAGTCATCTTGTTATGTTGCTGACATTGGATTAATATTCTTCATGCTATAGATTCTCTACAAGTTGAGCAGAGGAAATGGTGATGATTCATATGAAGGAGTGGCAGTGGGAGTCTAGTGGATGGTTGATGCTCTTCTCTATGCTTCTTGCTGCTAATTATTTAATTGAAGTGGAATCATCATCTAACATGGATCTCATTACAGCAGAAGTTGTGTATAGTTGGAAATTTGTGAACTATTCATGGCCTTCAGATGAACATGAAAAAGCAGCTCTCAAACGAGAGGAGTATATTCCAAGGAACTGCCTCTTGTCAGGTATCAAAGTATTCAAAGGTAAGATTTTTCATTTTTTTGTTTTCCTTATATTGGAATCTTGTATGCGATTACCCTAGAGCTCTAAAGTTCAATCTGTAAGTCTATAGAAGGTGCTTGCTGGCATGCAAAAAGTCAGGTCATTTTTTTACTCTTTATCTTAGACTATGCTCAATAGCAGTAAGTTGGAATTCCACTATTCCCTATTCTGGCCATAGTCAGAGAAAGAAGTCCAGAAATCAGTAAGATTATTACATAGCAGGGTACTTATCTGTATCACTTTCTAAAAATTTTGTGCAATTCCTTTTTGATGCCATTCAAGCAGGTAGAGCAGCAGCTCGAGACTCTTCTGTACTTAATGCTTGTATATGTAGTTCATTTTTTGAAAGACTTACTTTCATTTTCTGAGACTAGTTGTTAGTGTCTTGAAATCTGTCATGTATCCATATTTCTTTGAGCAAGATAATAAATTCCTTTTATCTACCATACCAGGTGATGTGTACGTGACTACATCTCGATGGAGACATGGTGTACCAGCTGCTCTATCCAAAGTAGTGGGAGGAAAGCTGGCACCATACCCAAGCTGGGAGATGCAAGAAATAGGGAATTGTTCAGCCCTTCAGTTCATTCAGAGCATGGAGATAGATCCAATGGGACGCATGTGGATCCTAGACGCAGGAAATGCTGTCAACCATTCTCAGGGGCGTAATCACCCCTTAAGGGCAAGTTGTCCTTCCAAGTTGGTTGTCTGGGACCTAATGGAAAACAGATCTGTCCATGTCCATGAATTTCATCATTATGTGGCTCCCAATGACAGTTTCCTGAATGATTTGGTACTTGATCTTTCTGGAGGCATGGATGATATTTATGCTTACATCACAGATTCACGGAAGAGTGCCATCATAGTTTACAGCTTTAGGGAAGATTCCTCTTGGAAGGCACAACACAAATCCATGAATGCAGATCCCAAAGCCAAATACATTTTTATCTCTGGTGAAAAGTATATTGCATCCACATCTGTAGATGGCATAGCTCTCTCACCTCTCACAGAACGTCATCCTCGTGTTTATTATTGTCCTCTGAGTTCATTGCACCTCTTTTCCATTCCAACGGATGTGCTGAAGAATCAGGCATTAGCAACTTCTCATCTGGGACCACATGTAAAGGACCATGGACCAAAACCTTCACAAACAGATGGAATAATCATGTCTTCAAATGGCAGGCTTTACTTTGGATCCTTGAGTGAAAATGCCATTTATGAATGGGAAGCTTTCCATCCTGAAACATCTGATCAGCCTACTGGAAAAGTCAATGATACAGCACACATGATATCTCAAGATAATTTGACCATGCAATGGGTTAATACCTTTGCTATATCTGATGGATACCTCTGGTTTACAACCAACCGCTATCATCTCTTCTTACTGCATCTCATGGACAAGAACGAGGTCAACTTTCGAATCATGCGCATACCTATTAATGGGAACTCTTATATGAGCAAGGCAAGTTCCCTGTATCCATGTGTCATGTTGGTCTTATTATTTTTTTTGCACTGCATCATGACTTAATTCCAGTTCCTTTTTCCCCCTTTTGTTCTGAAAACATTCAGGGTATAAATGTATCTGGTGTCTTGAACTTTCACCAATGCAGCAAGTGAACAGTCTCAAGTTTCAACATAGGGGATGTTTTCAAGTGTTATCAGGCTCTAGTTGCTGGGTTTGGTTCTAGTAGGAGTTTGAGAAATTGGTTATAATTGAAAAATTCAGTGACCTCTGATGAGTATATATTTTTCAATACTTCATCTATGCATTCACAAAAGAATGCTTCATCAAGCTCATTGCTTGTTATATACCAAGTTCTTCTGTTATGGAATTTGTAAGTGGGTTTCAGCTTAACTTGTCACCATTTTGCTGCTCATTGAGGGTTTAGTTTTCATGACGAAAATCAGCAAACTCATCTTTGTCTTTTTGTTGTCTTTTCATCTTTATACTTACAAGCCAAAGAATGCAATTAGCATATTTTCTGTTCATATTAATTGAACCATTTAATGTGTGGTACACAACCTTTTGGACAAAGATCTATTTAAATAGAGCTATAAAAAATTCACATTCATCTATTTGAAAGTAGACTGGATTGACACTCTCCATAGTTACTCAGATTAGCACCAAATTTTACAACTTTGATATCCAACATTTGAGACCAATCTGCCTGCTGTAGTGGTTATACAGGGTGGTCCAGGAAAACAAGACTGAAAGTTTCTTGTATGTCTTGCAAGGTTTTTACATTTATGCAGGGATATCCTCTCTAATAATAACTAGGGCACAGTGGCATTGTACGACTACTTTATGCTTATTCAGAATCCTGCAGTGAAAACACATAATTTATTATATATCTACCATCTAAATCAAGTAAAAGTATAACCTTGAAAAACATGCAATAAATTTTCTGTCTGGTTTTTTCTGGGCCACCCTGTACATACATGTAAGGCTGTCTGTAGCAGTTGTAGAAACATCTATGCATTGGCCAGAACCAGTGATGGTGCTATGATGTTTCTAGCAAAATATATATGCCTAATATCTAGTTGAACTCTCTGTTCATGGACATATGGAAAAACCACATCTTTTACATGTGGAATACTTAGTTTGGCAAGAGGGCACATTTTGCAAAAGTCAGGTCTGAATATGTTCTGATGAAATCTGAACTGAGAGCAAATTCCCCTTTATACTGTTAAAATTCATAAAAATACCTACTGTGGTTGAAGCATGAACCCATTTGCTTTCATGCATCTCCCAACTTTGCTGTCATGCTGTTGCAAGTCATGCTAAATTGATATAACAACTTGGTGAGCATGAGCATGAAAAACTGTACATACATATGTGTATATATGTTTAAGTTGTGACTTAAAGCTGTGTTGGAGTCTGGAAATTTATGGACATTCATCAGTACATCCATAGTACAGCTTTTGACCCCTGGAGGCCATATTATCATATGGAGTGACTGAGGAAGATGCTACTGTAACCACTGTAACCCTGAATGAAAAGGAAAAAGAGATATTAAAGTGACAAAATTGCTTGTTAGAGTAGAATATCTGTTTTCCAAATTGAAGTATATTTCAATGAACTTGGAATACCTGGACTTAAGAAATTAGCTCTCCATCACTCCCTGTATCTGGTGCATGTAATGTGCAAACAACATGCTTTTGTACAAAGTTTGGTCTTCATCAATTTCCATCTAAGAGAAAATGTATCCAGGTTGAAACAAACTTGAAAGGAGAATGGTGACTGTAGGAATGGCTGAGTAGAGAGACTCTTTTTTTACATAGCTATTATCGCTAGATTAGAATGGAATCCCATTTGCAGTAAACTTTCAAATGCAGTTGCCACGTTTTGTCCTTTTCTGGTGATTTAGAAATCATGCTAAAAGGAGAAAGTGCTTTAAATGGCAAAAATATAAATAATGAATTTTCTTTAGGCAAATTCAAGTGTAATAAATTTTTGTCTCCTCAAGAATTCAATATTTCTAATTTTGAACGTGTTTTCCCTCAGAATTGTCCCTGTATACATCCTGTATACCTATATTTTTCCTGTCATGTTTTAAGAGATGGGCATTTCTGTCCTTTCTATGTAAAACCAATTTTGATTTCTTTTTTTTCAGCTGTCTTTAATTTTTTTTGCAAAAAGCAGTCAGCCTTAAGTGACAAATTGCATTAGAGTAGACAACTGGATGAAACAGACACATATTGATGAAATACTATTGCCAATCACCAGGGGATTTTGGTCTTGTTTTTTTGGGAGGTGAAAGTAAGATGTGATTTTCTCTTCATAAACAGTGCGAATGCTGTCAGGTTTTGCTCAACAATTTGATTTGTTCTGATTAATGAGAGTGTATGACATTCCTGTATTCAGTCATCAGTAGAGCATCTACTAGAGTGCTATCCTGAGCTGAGTGAATACTCAAGACTTTAACTTCAACAGATCTCCAATGTTTTGTGCTTATGTATATTATGATTTCTTAATGTGATAACAGGGATCACCAAAGAATTCTACTTGAATCTTCATTGTATATCTTATATGCTCCACTAGCAATGAGGAACTCATCCATCTCATGTAATGAACAGTTGAGTGCAATAAGGAAATTGAGGATAGTGCTTTTGACTTTGCTTCTCAATAGAGCTACAGTACAAATGCTTTGCCAAATTAAGTCATTTGTGTTTAAAAATACGATACTGTTAAAATAAACTAGTTCATCCATCTCTGCTGGGACTGAGCCATTGTTACTTTACCTGTACTGTGAACTAAAACTGTATTAGCAGTTCTCCCTGAATTCATGTTAGTGAGGTTGAACTGTATTCATTATCACCAGCCAGGAGCAATGACATCATTCAGGAACAGATATTTTTACATCAGGGAATGATAACATAAAAATTTAAGCACTATGCATTGCATCAGCAGAAACTTGTGTGCTAAGAGTCCAGATGCACTGTAAGATTGATTTGCATTGGTTTTTCTGTAGTTTCTTACATTCAGTTACTTGTTTTCAATAATGCTAAGCTAGCCATGTCCAATAGCAATGCAATTGCTCAGGTGTAAAGACCGATCTTGTGGGATTATGCATCTGTGATTTTATGAGTTACTCTGAAGAGTGCAATTGACTTATTTTGTGTATTTCAGTGTGTCCTCCATATCTGAAAACGATTGTCAAACGATTGATCTCATTGGAATTTTAAACTTATCCATTCATGTTTGGTGTCAATACTTAGTATAGGATTTGTAGTAATATTAGTGATGTACACTGGCTGTATGGAAAGGGGCATTTTTGTCGTGTGTCTTGTTTCTGTGTGTTGTCCCTTTGTAAGCCCAAGTGTGATTGTTTTTCCCTTAATGGGTATCTTGTCACAGAGTTAATTCTGTCAATTCTGCAAGAAATGTAGTCATGAAGACAGATATTTGTGAGTGTTCTTGTCCTTGCTATGAACATGGTTTCAGTATGCTCAATAAAAAGATCTCAACCAAATCTTTGTATTCCTTCATTTGCTTACTAACATTTTCAAATAGAATAATAGTCCATTTGATTGATATGATTTTTTAAAGCAATTTTAAGTGGTTATTTTAGGCATAAAAAACAAATGGTGTATGCAGTGTTGAGAGGTTCACTATGCCATTCAGAAGGTTACTAAATCTTCAAATTCAGTAAATTAATCCTAACTTGAATGTAACTGCTGAGAGCTGTACTGTTCTCCACACCCTCGTATATCGTAAGTAATCTTGATAAAAATGTCTCCTTTAAATATAATTGAGCCTTTCATTTACCAGCAGCCTAATGAAGGCAGATATAGTGTGGGATGAAAGAGGTTCCTATTGCATTAGATCCTCTGGAAGAGCTACCTGTCTCTCTCCCCCACATTACATCCACTGTTTGATCAATACTGTGCTATGTGCCTGCCATTACACTACCTGCTTCTCTGCCCGTCTCTTGTGTTGCCTTGAAGTTATATTCTTCAAGTAAGTCTGTCAGAAGTGATCCTGCCTTATTTCATATAAGAGGTAAAGTTTCAGTGTTTCATATGCTTGGAATATAATTGTGGGTACAAAAAAAGTAATACTTCATGCATTTTGCAAACATATCTCAATCCTGCCACTGCTTTTTCTAATTTCGATTTCATGTGTTACTGTGGCCAAACTACAATGATGCAATTATGAGAATGAACCATTCCAAGACAGATTTTGAAGAGTGATATAAGTAAAATTCACTTTCCTTATCATTGCTATAACCTGAGTGCAGCCAGATATACTCAAGACTACAGTTATTGACTGGCCGACCAAAAAAAAGAATATGGAGTCAGGCATGACTTTCCTTATCTATTTCATGTGTGTCATTTTCTTATTTGACTTTTTAATGATATTATTCTACTTGAATTTCTTTTCATATGGTATACATACCAAGAATATATTTTCATATTCATGGCTAATATTTACCAGTTCCTCACTCAGCTGCTGGAGAGTCTACTTTTCCTATTTAACTTAAGATGTGTAATTCTTGCAGGTAACCTTGAACAAAATTCAAACACTTCAAAACTATTATTGACCAAATTGTAACATTATTTTCAGAACACAAGATAGTTAACACTGGAATAAGCAATTGACTGAAGTTTCATTTGCTCCTGTATATGGTGAGGCTTAATATTCTTTTGATGTAGGTAACATGAATTTGATATGATCTTGATCATTACACTGAACTTATATTTAACTACTTACTATAGAAGTTTCATAATCCATTCCAACTTCCATTTTTCTTGGATTCATGAGTAAGGGGCAAAATGATGTATTCTATTTATTTATTTCATCAGGGATGTCTTTGAATTTAGAGGATTGATTTAAAGCATTGGGCCATTCATGATTCTGCTGTCTTGGATGAATCAGTGGAGATTGACCATTTACACAGAAGTCACATCAGCCCAAGACAGGCCCAAATAGCTGTAGGGATATGCATTTAAGGTTTATAGTTCCAATCAAAATGTGACATTCTGGATGTCAGCTGTGCCAGATTAAGTACCATCTCAGAGTGAAGAACTGTGAAATCAATGAAAGGAAGCCAAGTACAATTGCGGAATGAAAATTGGCTCAGATGGAAGCCTCTGGTCTCAGCAAAGTTGGAAAAATTTCTACTGAAATCATTTGTGAAGCAGCTTGGAATGAAGTACAGGACCTCCAAAGTTATAAAATGATGGTTTAGCTCTGGTTCTATTCATTTCCAGGTAATTAAGTTTCATTTTTCAGGTTTATACGAGGGGAGGTGCATCAGGTATTGAGACTCGTGCTTTTATTGTCTGTCTTCCTTTTGTTGTCTTTCTTTCAGTAAAGGGAACTACAGATAGAAAAAATGTGTATCGAGGCAGGAAGACTACCTTGAGAAATGAAGAGTATATTCACACAAAGGTATAAATAAAGTCCTGCTCACATAATTATGAAGTCTCACTACTTTTGCATCTCCCCTTGTACAACAATTTAAATTCATTTTCAGTTTGGGAGCTGGTATTAACTGTCTCTTCATTTATTGAAAGCTGGAGTGAAGTCCTCTGCTAGAACCTAGAACCTCCCCAGCTAAAAGACTTAGATGAAAATAAAACTGTAAAAACAGCAGATCTTTATTTGCTGCTGCAAACTTGAAATCATGATGCCTCTCATTCACTCTCATAGCTATACAGTGAAGCATATTGATGAAAGCAGGAGTGGTGGACAGTGTAGCTAACAGATAAGTGTCCACAACTGCACTCCTTGTGGATTGATTTATGACAATCCTTATGTATATCTGTATAAGGAGTAAATATGCAATAAATTTTCTCCTTGAAATGTTTAATGATAGAAAAAGCTTCTTACTGAGGAAAAACACTAATGAGAATCTGACTTCTATAAAGGATTTTAAAAAAAAACAGGACATGTGCACTCAATTCACTTCGAAAAGAAATTAGTTTTCTCTCAAAGACTGATCTATGGTGGGTGGATGAGGAAAGAGAGCAGGTAATTATCATCACCATTTGGGCCCAGATAGATGACAGTTATGTGACAGGGATACAAATATTCGGTGTTGTACTGGTGACTCTTAATGAGGAAATTGAGAACTTGATCGTATGCATGATAGGTGAGGACTGCAGAGATTCTAAGGATTATGAACTCTATATTGTGATCGATGTGAATTTAATTATTTGTGAAGGACTCTAAACAACAGGGATGTAGCTTATTTTTTGTGTTTATTTCTGCACATTTATATTCATTAGCATTGCAGCAGTTGTCACATTGTTGTGACATACATCAATAAAACAAAGTTTACCAACATGATGCATTCTTTTGCTTCTGATTACTCTGAATATCTTTGAAATTCTGATTTGGATTGTCAACTGCTGGTTTATGATCCCCATTCAAGCACAAATATAAAGCTGCTAAGAGAAAAACCTTTTGTTTTTTACCTAGGGCCCCAAGGGGTTGCCTTGTCAAATTTATTTGCTAACTTCATTCATACATACATGTGCACTTCTCAGAGAAATCAACAATGCAATAATTGTTTTTGTATTTGAGTTACTTGTCCACCTTGACAATGCTTAAAATATTTTCTGATTTTGAGCTTTTTCTTTTTTCCATTTTTGATTAGATCCTCCTGTAGCTTTGTTTTGCATTGGATCAAATATTTATGTTATTCGTCTAGCTACTGAAAGCCAGAATCAGCTCTCAATTTTTTAATCGAGGGCATTACTGAAGGCAATTGTGCAGATATTTGGAATTCAAATGGGACTTCTGTCAGAGATTTCATTTCCCATCCCAAAAGGAAAAAAATCTGAGCACCTCTCCAAGCTTCTACATTGGATATAGTCCTTTCTTTTTCCAACATTCACTCAAAATTCTGACTGCAATTACTGCAAATCCTGTGTCATTGAAAAGCCCTCTCTGTCTTCTTTGATTCAGTTTGCTGTACATTAGGACTAATGCAGGGGTTTCAATAGAGCAATCAAGGGAAGATATACAGTTCATCATGCCATTGGCTCTACACTCCTAATATTTTTTTTTTTGGAATGGTGTGTTTTTTGGGAATCCAAACAATTAGAAACTTAAAGGGTTATGCTAAATCTTCATGCTCATACTATTCAATAAAAAAAAAAAATTACTTAATGTGACATTTCAGCCAGTACGTGTTTCAGCCATGGGCCGAAAAGTGACTCTTGCAACGTGTTGTTTGAATCAGTGGGCATTAGACTTTGAAGGGAATCTGCAAAGGATTCTATCCAGTGTTGAGGAGGCAAAGAATCTGGGTGCATCATACAGGACAGGACCGGAATTGGAAATCACGTAAGTTGTTTCATGAATCCTTTAAAAAAACCTATACTATCTTTGCATGCATGTTGAAAAGTAACTGTTTATTCTGATTCTTGTTTGTTCTTCAGTTCAATGCAATAGTACTTTTTTAAGATAAGATATTTGATAGACTCCTGGATGTCTCACTCAGTACATGTAAAAGTTATGCCTGTCAGATTCAGGCATTATGCTTGATATAGTCCTTTGGACAAGAATTCATCACCATGGTGGGCCTAAGTGGTATATCATCAGTTTTCTCCCTGAGGTGGCACCCAAAGTAGCATGTGCATTATCTCAACACTGGGCAGGTAGTGCTCACCAAAGTGCAGGTGGGTAATCTGTGTGCAAAGAGTCTGCCGCTGTCCATAGGCACTTGTAAAAATAAGATACTGCTGGTGGGGAAGGTCCTAATGCTCTTTAAATAACATGGACTGGAATCATTCTAGGATTCAGTGGAGTGACTTGTTATTGTGGTGGGTGAGTGATTGGCAGATGTGGGTGCTGGGCAAAGGGAGAAGTGACTGGGAGGTGGCTCAAAAAGAATTTCAATGTTTGCTGCTATAATAATGATGGTCACCTATTTGCCCACCTGGTTGCTAACAGCCAAAGGAACTCTCAAGCCCCCTTCTTCCCCCCTGCCTGCATATCTCATTGCTAGGATTGCTTGAAAGAATATAGATTTTAGCACTAGAAATGTTCAGTTGCACAGTCAGAGCTGGCATTGATGGTTTGACAACAAGGATAAGATATTGACATCCTGAAGCTCCCCCATCCTACCACCCCACTGTTAGGTCCTTATCCCCATCTACATCCCACCTGTTTGTGCTCCTGTGTCCTTACCCTTCCACCCCCATGGAGGTGGAAAGGTAGGGTACATTACATGGTACTAGGGATCCCACAGTTGATGCATTAAACTGATAGGAAAATAATTTTTGTCACTTCTTTGGTAACAGCATTCTGTCCCCCATGTTCAAAGTTTCAAAGTGTCATACTTTTGGTGCACTGAAGCCAATCTTTAGCAGCATTGCCTCTCTGATGTTGAGGTGGCATGTGCTTCCTTGTCCCCATGGATTTTGTGCCTGTGCCTCAGTCTAAAGCAGGGGTGCCCAAAGTGCAACCTGCTAGTCAATTTTGGAGAAGGAAAAAAATTATGGAAGAAGAGAGAAAAGGCAATGGTTTGCACAGGAAGGGCTGGGTGCATGTGGCATGATTGAAGTAGATATACACTGTCTCAAGAAAAAGGTGCTGGTTTTTCCCCCCCCCCCCTCCCCCATTTGAAATCTCTTTGTGATATATGAGTGGCATGATTTCTGCATTTGAGATCTTAGATGAATGACAGTTTCTGTCCATTTGGAAGTGTTTCACTCAGTGCTTCAAATGCAATAGCATTTCAAAGGTGAAGTATCAAAAACTCAGTGAAGAAGCAACTGCAGACAGCAAGCAGCTTTAGAGCTGAAATGGGGCTTTGATAGACTCTTATCATGTGCAATTGATTGATTTCCGTTTTTTAAATTAAATGGTGCCAGTATGTTTGTTGGCATATTTCACACCAGCAGCATTCAAGCCTAATTTTTTAATGGTTTTGCAAACACCATCTATGGTTTAGAAAGAAGTCTTACTGGCATCTCTTTTATAATAATAATAAAAATAAGTTTATATCATCTGTAGTAAATGAAGCTTCCCTTTCTCACATCTCATGGTCCCCATTCTGGGCAAAATGCATTTCAACCCTTCTGCTCAGCTCAAGTTGCCATGAATTGATTCTGGGTTATACTGCCCACAGCTGCCTTGACACATTCTTTGAGATCTTTCAAAGACTCCAACTTCATTTTGTAGACTGCAACCTTGACATATCCACAAAGAAAATAGTTCAAAGGAGTAAGATAAGGAGACCAGGCTGGCAATGAAATTGCCATTCCTCATGGTTAGTTCTATTTTTCCATCTATAGGACACTAAGCTTTTCCCTCCATATTAGCCATACTCTAGATATCACTAATATTTTATTAACTGGCTGATCTGAAACAAGTGGAAAGGTAAACTTTTTGTCTTAATCCATTAATTTATATAATTATTTGGTGCCAATATTGCCTAGTTTTGAATGAAATTTTTTCAAAAGCAGGTAGATGTCAAGTTTAACAAATGTATACATGCTACAAAGTTTGGCTAATTATGAAAATGTAGTATTTCTGTTGGCATAGACCATCTATTGTGAGGTGATTGCTTCTTTTAGAATAAATCATATGCTCACTTGCAGGGGCTACAGCTGTGAAGACCATTTTCATGAAGGGGATACACTTCTACATTCTTGGCAAGTCCTTGCCAAGCTTCTTGTGCATCCAATATGTACTGACATCATTGTTGATGTTGGAATGCCTGTTATGCACAAGAATGTCACCTACAACTGCCGAATCATATTCCTGAACAAGTAAGAGACTGACTTTTGTGCAGGTGCATGTATCATGCATGAATGCAAGTGGATGATAAATTTGCCATAATGAGGTCATTGGGTGATTATAAAATTACTTGCTGGGTGTGTGGCACTCTTAACATTAAAACTATGCTCTATGGCTCGGTGAAATTTGGAGAATAGTGCCAAAGCATAAAGGAGAACATAGCCACATAGGGGGTTTTGCTGTTGTGAAATTTCCATACATTTAGATCAGTAAATGATAATATAAAATGCTACAGTAAAGTGCTGACTATCAGTTCTTGAGCATTCAGTGAGGGTGTCAACCTATAGACAGCAAATAGTTTTTTAAAGTTTTATTACTCTAATGGATTTGATGCAGTAGTGATATAACAGGCTTAGTGCTCCATAGCTGCCTTTTATATACCTGAGCAATAGCTGCCCCTTCTTTACATGTAAATGATGTCACATTAACCCCTTAAGTGGGTATGACGTATATATCCATCATGGTGAAATGCCCTCCAGATGGGTTCAGCTTTTTTTCCATCACATTGTATTTCTAGTTTAAGTTGAATGCAAATTTGATACTTGAAATGGGATTATAAATTCAATAAGAGTTTTACATTTCTTACTCAACCATTAAGTATTACTGTCACAAAAAAGAAAGTTTTGACTCCAGTGGAAGACTTCTGTCTGAGAAATTCCCCATTTAAGGAGTTAACAGTGCTGCCACTGAGGCATTGTTTTTCATGTAATGTACTCTCCTGGTGTTGTGATACCATTCCCCAAGTTTCACAGAATAGCAGTGCATAGCTCTCACCCTGGAGTGCCATGTGCCCAACAAGCAACTATATATTGATGGAAGATGGTAATTATCTTTAGATAATCACCATATAATGCGCAAATTAATCTATTATTATACCTAGATCTTGAGTCTTTCATGACTAATGGTGTGATTTGGAACTACAGTCGACTCCACATATTAGAATACTCATGGAACCAGTGAACTTTATTCTATAATCTGGAATGTCCCAATAACCAAAACTATCTGTTGTATAATACTGTAAATTAGGACAGTGCAATGATATTCCAATAAGCAGAGTATTCCTTTAAGTAGTATTCCATTATGGGGAGTTGTCTACTAATTTTGAATAATTTTCTAACCTTGTCTGGGATATGTTCTTGAATAACAGCTATATCAGTTTTACCGCAGCAATGCAATCAATCTGATGACTTGTTTACTACGATGTGTCAATTGTAAATCTGCAAGCATTTAGGAGATCAAAGAGAGGGAACCTGAAGGTTTTTTAAAATGTGATGAGTGAGTAATTTCTATAAATTCTTATCCTCATTTTTTTTTTCAAGGTTTTTGGACGTTATTATTATGGAAAGTAATAAAGAAACATTAACACGTTGACGACCAGCCTATTTTTGCTTGTCCACCGCGTGGGACCATGCGCATTTTTTTTGTCAAAAAATGCGTCCTGCCATCAGGACGCATTGTCGCCAACGTGTTAAGAAGCATAGAATGTGAAATTAAGGTTGGATTCATAGCAGAACTGATAAGTTGAATGATTTGATTTTATTTTGATTTATTTTTCAATAAGTTAATTTAAAAGTTGATTTAATATTCAAAATCCTTTCTAAAAAGCATATATGTATTTCATATGCCTTGTTGAGTCCACAAAACTAAGTAGAATATTTTCTCTATGCATGATTTAGTTATGTAAGGTTGAAAGGATATTAATTTGTTCCATTGCTCCATTTTTGAGAAATGATATTTAACAATGGAGACATCCATAGACCAGCACTTGCTGAATGGGGAGTTGAAGCGTAAAATAGTGGCCTAGTTTTTGGCTTTAAAACATATTCCAGACCATGGATTGTTGGGAATATACTGGGTGGCCCAAAAAAAGTTTCAAACTTCGTGTGGCTACATATGGGACACCATGCTAACCATCGTCTTGAAATTTTCAGTGTCATACCCAATATAAGTAGGTGGCTTTAGCAAAATTTCAATGAAATTCCTTGCTCTGAATATGAGTAAGAGCTCTTTTCGTACAAGTTGTCAAATGAGCAAGTATGTCAGTGTGTTTGCCGGCATGCTGTTTCGGCAGGCGTCCAAGGAGGACACATCCATGGAGAACCCATCAAGCAGTTCTTTCATTGAGTTCAGGCATGTTGCTTTGCACACTTGCTCTTTTCACATCGTGTGGGAGAAAAATTGTTACGTAGTTTACAACCAATTTCAATGAAATTTTTTTAACATTACCTGCAAACATTGCATGTCAAAGCCTGTAAATTTCCTGTCGATAATTCATATGGTTCACCGTCTGCAGACATGTAAAGTTCTGAACTTCTTATTAGACCACCTGTTATAATGAAAGCCTTTCATGCTGCAACCCAATGGAAAATGGTCTCCATGTCATATCCAACAATCCCTGCTGTAAAGTTGAAGAACTGATATACATGACTGAAGTGGTTGGTTCCCACCAATTCTGCATCTGCCATTTGGGCTATTGCCCCCTCACCATTGCAAGTTGGTATGCTGCAGCAACAGCAAGTTGAAGGGCAAACAGGCCATATGATTGCTGTTTTTGTGCTGATGGAATATTGTTCATTTTGCAAGACAGTAATAAGATATGTTCAAAAGTTCATTTTGATTTTGATTTTTGTCAAAATGTGACTCATTAGTAATTAGTTCTGTCATCCCCCAAACCTTTTGTATGTTCCACTCTGCACTATTCTGAACCAAGGACTTTGAGGACCCAAGTTGTCATGGCCATCAACTGCAAAATTTTCTTACCATCATATTTCATAAATTCAGTTTCTGCCTTTTTAAGGGTGGAGAGCAGAGGAATGGGCATGAAAATGTGAATGTGAGCTCATTTCTCTGGCTTCTGTTTCCTCAAGATGGAGATGAACATCTGAAAATGGATGTCTCTTATAATTGCATTGTTATTTCATATTGGCTAGGGTCCCTAAAAAATCAGTGTGTACCTGGCCATATTCTGGTTGCATTAGACCACTCTGACAAACATCATACCAAATACATTCATACTTCTGATTGTCACACAAATGTGATTTCTAGGCGATCATACCCCTCCTCCTCCACCCCTTCCCTTCAGTAAGAGACAATGAAGAGAAGTGATAATGGAAAGCAAAAGTCAGTATGCCTCTTCTGTACAAGGAAGAATATTGAATAGTGTATCCTTATTGGTTCAACCTAAATTTAATTACCATCAGATCCTCCAGGCCCACAAAGCCCAACTGTATTGATTATCTGGCCCTTCTGACTCTCTGTACACAAGTTTACCAACCATTCAGCCCTCATATTCCTGAACCCTTTGAATGTTTGAGCACCTATTGCTGTTTCATTCATTCACTGCCTGATGCCTCTCTATTCCTGGTTCAATGTTTTAAACCTGGAAAATAATTTCTTTTTTTGTATCATGAAATTTATGAAAACTCATGCATGTCTAATGCATGTCATTTGCAGTTGTTATGCAGGACCTATCAAGTCCACAAGGCCATCCACCAGAGGAGAAAACAACAAAAAAAGAATAAAAACATGAAAGAACTTTAAAAAAAAATACAAATAAAATAGGGTTTATCAAGTTGAACCAGGAATAATTCGATATTGTTCAAGAGAACATGATTTATTGCTTTCCTTCATGCATGTAGATTCCTAAAGCCCCTAGCAGCAGCTGGCTTTGGTTTCACCCAAAAGTCTTTAATGCTGCAGAGTGATTTTTATATTGACAGTTGTGATTGTGATTACTGGAATATTATATTGTTTCACTCTTATCTTCAGTTCTTAATTATTGTTCATCTCATGCGCATCAAAGAATGTAGTTGCACCAGTTGGAAATGCCTTTGTACGTACATCTTTGCAAGTTTCATCAAGCAGAGGTCCATCCATGTGCAGTCTTATGATTTGAGTGGAAGGGTATTGAAAACAAGATCAATATGAACACAAGGAGGCATCCAGAAAGAAATCTAGATAAGGGGGAAGAATCCTAAACCTTGAAGTTACCTCCATCATCACAAGATGGTTTTGTTTTTTTCAGGAAAATCTTTCTGATCCGTCCAAAAAGGATCCTTTGTGATGATGGAATCTACCGTGAGACCCGATGGTTCACTGCATGGACAAGAGATAGAACAACAGAGGAGCATTTCTTGCCCCGCATTATTTCTTCTATTACTGGCCAGAGCACTGCTCCAATTGGAGATGCTGTCATTGCAACTAAGGACACCTGCATTGGCTTTGAAATTTGTGAAGAGTTATGGAATCCCAAAAGGTACTGGAAATAGGTGCATAACTGTGAAAGACAATGGCTGAGTAAGAACTTCAGAGAGAACATTCATGTGAAGGATCTGAAATAATGTAATGCAAAAATCACAACAAAAGTGAGGCTTTTTTGGAAACTTAATTATACATTTGTCTCAAAATTGAACAAATTTTTTTCACAATATTACAACCCTTTGACCTTTGAGGGTCAACAGAACAAAACCAAAATTAATGAGGAAAGAGTCCTTCCCTGGTTCAGTTTTTTGTTGCATCATTTTTTTTATCTCCACAGGATAGACGTATCTTCCATTTTTATGATTTAGATTAAGTTTGACCTCAGTTTTCCCCCTGTGGTGATCCAGATAAAAAATATGCATTAGATATCATATTAAGGAGCATTCAAAGTTTGTTGTTTTGGTAACACAGGCTTCATTCTTTACAATATAGGCATTAGAAATTGATGATTTTTTACATCATTATGAGTGAATGCTTTGGCTTTGTCCAGTTAAACATAGCTGCTTCCAGTTTAACATGGTCTCAACAACCTGAAAACCTTGCTTTCTCTTCTTACTTGTTTTTTCAAGGGCATGATGGCTCCATCCCAATCATCAACATGTTGGGGCTCTGGTTGAGATAGTGAGTGGTTCTGTTCAAGGAGAATGAGTTTCCTGTAATTCTTGTAGTGACAGCAAATGGATACAAATAAATGGACAATTACAGAGGTATGGTTTATAGAAAATCTCCAAATTTCATTTTTCATTAGGATCATTTGGCTCATCTATTTCCTAAATAACACACTATATATCCTTGTCAGTCCCAAGTGACATATATTTGGCCATTTGAGTTGTCCCTTACACTGTAGATTCAAAAGCATATATACAGACACTTGGTAAGTGTGTTCTTTCTTGTCCTGTGCCCATAGATTGGAAAGCTAGAATATGTCCACACATGTGGCCATAGGGACTGAAGGCTTCAAAAGGATGCAGGGAGTGTCAATAGTGAAAGTGCATCAGAATTCGAGCTAATATTGGCTTCAGCTAAAATTTACTATTCTACATAGTTTTTTTTTTTCTTTTTCCCTGATAACATCATAATGAAGGATTAATTGTTTATTTTAATGGTAATTTGTGCTCTTTTCTTCATATGGGAATGCCTCTTCTCTTTCATGCTTTGTAGATATCAACCTGCATTGTGAAATTCTTCTAAACAGTTTTGTTCTTTTAGGGCACAGAGAGAAACTGTATTCAGTGAATCTAGTTATTGTCTTTCCCTCACCTCCTTCCTTTCTGCACTGGGGTGTGTTCAGCTAACATGAGACTAGGTGAGTACAAGAAAGCTTTCGTCACAGAAAGTCAATGCCGCTCTCATTCAGCTTGTTCAAAATATTATCTGAGGACGACTTTTGTCCATTTGAAAGAATAGGACTACTGAGTTGCTCTAGCTTGTGTCCTAATGTTGACTTTTTTTTTTAAATAATACAAAGGAACCTTTTGCAAAGAAACCTGTGAGACCCAATGTACCCATACATGTACACGTTTTTAAAGTGCTGCATCTCATCACTGTGGAGATTTCAGAAGGAAATGATAATGGAGTAGTTGCTGTGATTGAGAATACATTACCATAGTAGGATAAATGTTATTTTTCACAAAACACTAACATAATGAAAAAGCAAAATTTATGACGTGGTGCTGACTCAGGCCCACAAGGCGTATTGTTATTGGCAGCCATCTTGATATTTCCACTACAAGAGTCATTGGAAAGCTCATAATTTGTTACATGAAGACTTTTTCATTGGAAATAATAGTGGTAAGAGAACATTAACTCAAAGTCATTACTTTTACTTGGAAAAAATTGTATGTATTTGTCCACAAGTGTGTGCACCAGGTCTGATGAGGATATCAGAAGAGCCTTTAAATTAGTTGAGGGTATAGACTGATGCACACTGACATGGAAAGAGTGGCATTTCAGTAATTGCAATGGTGAAGTTTGCTGCAAATGTTCAGAGAGAAGTGGAAGGTTTGCATTCATTTACAGTGAGCTGAGCAACAGACTTGAACCAGCCAATTATCATCATCCCTTTTCAGTCAAGTGAGCAAGATTATGCATTGAGTACTATCTAAATTTATTTGATAAAGGTGAGTAATCCATCATTCAAGTAAAAGAAAGCCTTGTACATAACACCATGACTTGGTTACAAGTTAAATTTGCAAAACTTCAAGAAACCCTCTCATTATTCAGGATTTGTAAACTTGCAGCCCTTTTCTGGTCGCAATATGACAGATTTGGCAGTGGCACAGATTTGAAAAATGCAAGTACCCTAAATGATAGTGCAAAATTTGATTGACTTTGTGATTTTCAGTATCAGCTCATACTTTCACTATTTAAGTTCATAAGTTTTTAAAAAGGCTTCTCACCCCTGTACAAGTTTTCCTATTTTTAACTCCTCTCCTCATTCAGCCTGAAAATTTTCGTTATTCTGTGAAGGTACAAACTGAATCTTGACAAAATACCAAGTGGAACTAAATCCAGACAAGTCAATCTGAAAGCACTGTATATTTCCTGTGCAGTTTGCATCTTGGGTGCATCAGCCTCATCAGCAAAACTCCACATATGGCTTATGCTGAATTTCTTCTTTCATTGCTTTTTTTGTTACTTTCAATGAAGCTGGGCAATGGAATCTGAAGTATTAGCAGGGCATTTGTAGCTATAACTATATACTATACTCTTGCACAGGAAGGTCAAGGTCCATCAGTCTCATATTGAATTCTAAGCTAGACACTAGCAGATGAATGTCACAGGCCAAAGGAATCTAACAAAATGCTGCTGCAGCCAAGCATTCCAACCATGCTCTCGCCATCTTTTTGTGGGAAGTGTTTGAAAAACCAAAATTTTAAGCAGCTAAGCCTGGTTTTCTTCAAAAGTAACCATGTTGAATTGGAGCTGAAGCTCCACACATGCTGACATAAAAAATCATCAAACATTTTGATGCCTCTATTGCACAAAATGAAACCTGTTACAAAGCAGCAATTCATATGATATCAAATGATTTGTAATGAATATATTTTCCTGGACCATCACAAGAAGAAAGCTGAGGTCAAACTTGACCAAAGTCATAAAAAATGAAAGAATATGGCTTGGCTTTTTCTCCTTGTGGAGATAAAAAATGATACACCAAAAAAACTGAACCAGGGTAGAACTCTTTGCTCTTTAATCTTGGTGTTGTTCTGTTGACATCTACATGAAATTGGAAAGTAAATATTATTAGATAATAAAAAAATGTAGAATTATCAACAAAAGCCATACTTTTATTGTTACATTTACATTTTTATACTGCAGGGCATTTCATTTGAATTGTACACCTTTGATCGCTCATATCTCTGAGAGGATGCAACCAATCATGATGAAATTTGACAACAATATAGAACAACTTTCGCCAAAATATTGAACAGAGTTTTGTTTCTCACAGTGCCCTCTATCAGGTTGAAAAACTGATTCTACCTAAACCTCTGAAATCAAGATCTTATCAATTTGATAAAATCCTTTAAAGCAAATCGTTCATTAGATTATGCCTTGATCTAGTAGCCCTGTAAGTTTCATGATTCTATCCCATCTCCTTATTGAGATATCAATTTTCAAATGTGATGGAAGGATATGCTGACATCTCCCAATTGACAGTTTTAGCATTACCCAAGATGAGCCAACATGGAGGTAGCTGTTGTTCTTCCCATGAAGAGTTTTTTCAAGAGTAAGGAGATGGGATAGAATCATAAAACTTTCAGGGCTACTGAATCAAGGCAAAATCTAATGAATGATGTGCTTTAAAGGATTTTATCTAATTGATATGATCTTGATTTCAGAGGTTTAGATAGAATGAGTTTTTCAACCTGATAGAGGGCACTGTGAGAAACAAAACTCTGTTCAATATTTTAGCAAAAGTTGTTCTATATTGCCATCAAGTTTCATCAAGATTGGTTGTGTCCTCTCAGAGATATGAGTGTTCAAAGATGTACAATTTAGATGAAATGCCCTGTATTTTAAACCCTTCACATGAACCATAACAAGCATTTCTGGCTGTATTAGTTCCTGAGCTATGAAAATGTTCTGAAACCAGAATGCTAAAAATTCATGCCTCATAAACCATTAAAAGGAAAACAAGTTAACATTTTGGATTTTCTAGGGGTTGTTAGCCATGAATTTCAAGCTTCACCCATCTGGTCCATTGGCATGGAATGCCCTTTGGTGATATGAAAGCATCCCACTAGAAGCCTTCATAAGGTTTTCTTTCTTTCGGAGTAGTTCACACATTGACCTGGGCTTGGATGGCGTGGAGATCATTGTCAACAGCTCAGGTTCATACAGTGAACTGAGGAAGGCACATATACATGTGGAAATGATCAAATCAGCAACTGCACGATCAGGTGGATGCTATGTATTCTCTAACCTGCGTGGCTGTGATGGGCAGCGTGTCTACTTCAATAGCTGTTCATGCATTGCACTCAATGGCTCCATTGTCAGCAAGACCAAGCAATATGCTCTGGAAGAAGTGGTATGAAATCAGTCAAATGTCTTAAGACAACTATGAATGCATACTTCATCATTCTATTTTTCCCAAATGGTTTTCTATATGCCAAAATTTCATTGCTATTGAAATTTTGGCTTATTGCTATATTGACCAACCTGTACAAGTTGTGTATGGCACTTCTGAAAAATTTCTGTAACTCCATGGATACCAAAGAATAATGAGAGAAACCTGATCCATTGCCACTTGAGTTAATTCAGGTAGATAGATAGAAAAAATAATAGCAAATTTCTTTTAAAACAAGTGCAAGTCCATTTACTTCCTTCATTAGAAAAAATTTGATTAGAAGCTGTTGTTCTCAATTGATAAGTTGATTGTGCTGAACAATCAATAATACTCAGAAATTCAGAGTTGATCATATTTCTAGCAAAGTTTTACTTATTCTGGTGTAGGAAGTAGCAGTTGGGACGATCGACTTGGAAGACATCAGATCATATAGGAATGCCATTCGAAGTCGATGTCTTCGTGCTTCATATGCCCCCTCATTCCCACGCATTCAGGTAAGAACCCACATAAGTGATTCATCTTCTGATCTATTTTGCATGGCCTAGAAAAAAACAGGAATAAAGCTCTTCAAACTTCCTGTGCCAGGGCAAGCTTAGTAGTAATAATGGAGTTTCCAAGAAGAATCCTGTGTGTGAAGACTTAGTTCAATGTTGAACCTATTTTGGGCTTGAGGCTTAATTCTCACAAAACCTTGGACTTGGGAATTTGGATTCTTGATATGGTGTGCCATAGTGTGACCATGCTATGAGAATGAGCCTGAACAGTTATGAAAGGTTATGAATATAGGTTTCATTTTTTTCCCCAAAAATATGTTGTTTGCAAACAGCAAGTGCCACTCTCTACTTCACTGAAGAAAGGCAGAGACAAGAGTAGTATAAGGCAAAGAGTCAAGAGAGTTTTCAGGTGGGGTAAACATGATGGTATTGCATTAATTGCAAGTTGATGAAGATGATGCAGTTCTTTTTTCAACTTCCTCTAATAAAACTTCATATGCTTGTATTGCTGTAAACCATTCCCTTTCAGGTGGAGTTTGCATTATCCTCAGATGCTGACATCTTCTTGCCAAGCTTCTCAGCTCTTCCCTGGGACTATCACAGCAATGAAGAAGAAATAGCTCTTGGACCAGCTTGCTGGCTGTGGGATTTTCTCAGGTACCTAAAATTTCAAAGGATTAACTTAACCAGATAAAGCAGTATTTCAAAATAATGCATGAATTCAATGATGGCTGTTCTAGATGGACCTATAATGCTTCATACATTTCTTTTATTTTATGAAATTCTTCTTGCATATTAGGTGGAAAAAGATTCAAACCTCTGAAAAATGTGAGATTCACAATAGTGACATTTCAACTACTTAAATATTATTCTCTTTTGATAATGATACAAAATCAGTGACAGGAGGCTGTAGGTTAGGTGATTCAAATTCCTACCCTGCTGTATAAAGTCCACCTTCATGCTACAGATTTCATTGTAATTAGAAGTACAAACAACCTTTTTCAACCAAATTTCACCAATGTTTGGTCTCTAAACATGAATGGGCAATGTGTGCATTTTCCTCTCGATTGACATAGATCCTAAAGAAGTTCATTTCAAACTGTGGGTAAGGGGGCAGGTTTTGAGCTTAAGGGTGTTGGAATTGGTATCACCTGCCCTACTACAGTTCACATGCACATATTGCAGTTATCAATATCAATTTGGAGTTTGGATTTCTTTTCTCGTTGTCTTATTTGCTTCATTTTTTCTGTATTCTACAGTCAGCATTCATTACTTTTCTTTTGTCTTGGTAGACGGAGTGGACAAGGTGGATTCTTTCTCCCTCTGAGTGGAGGTGTAGATTCATCAAGTGTTGCCTGCATCATCTTTTCTATGTGTCATCTTGTTGTGGACACTATTCAGAAAGGAGGTATTGTTACCATATTTTTATGATTTCTAGTTCCATCCAGAGATGTATCCTTTATCACATCTTGTGGATTTCCCTATGTACATACTTCAATGATGATAGGAAACTTGTGTGCTTATTCCACTTGGGTTGGATCTGATGATATTGAGATTTTAATTTCATGTTGAGCAGAACCATCATAAGAAAAAACTATAGGTGCAGTGCTGTAACTGTTTCCCAATGTCACAAATGCTGGAGGAATCTCTGTATTGCAATTTAAAAAAAAATAATGAAGTTGACTTTGTGGGAAAATGCAATATGTTGCTGCCAATAGATATGCTTGAGATAAGATACAAGTACATTTACTAGTTACTGGGAAAAGTAGGTGCCTCACAAATTTCACTGTTTCATTACTCGCAACCAGGACTGTCAGGATGGTGGTTTTAAAAACATCAGAGCATCAGACCAAAAAATAAGAAACACTTTGGCTGGTTATTTGACTGGATGACTGCCAACACTGTCAGCTGAGCAGCAGCATTGCCAAATCAAGTTTGAAGTGGGCAGATAGATGAGACCCATCATTGGCAAGTTACAGGAAAGAGGATGATGTGGATTTCATCCATTAATGGCATGGAAAGGATTAAAATTGTCACTTATCACATGTTGCAGCACATGTGGAAATGTAGTTGAAGCTCATGCATCATAGTCTTTACCCTTCTCCTCATTCCCATGATATACCAGTGGAGGAAGTCCTTGTGGATGTGAGGCACATCGTAGGAGACAGTGCTTACGTGCCAGTTGATCCTAGAGAGCTCTGCAGCCGCTTGCTTATCACCTGTTACATGGGATCAGAGAATTCATCAGCTGAGACAAGGAAGTCGGCTAAGTCCCTTGCTCATGATATTGGAAGGTAATGTTAAACAGATTCCTATTTTTGAAACAGACAAACATCAATAAAAAAAATATTATTTCAGAATTGCATGAATGACCATGTGTATTTTTAATGCTATATGAGTATATCTTTGATATACAGGTTGACTCTTGTTAGTATGTGGCCATTTAACATGGACCTCCCTTTAGTACATACAAAAGTTTGTGACCAGGCTTTCTCTTCATTACTTTAAATGGTTTTCAGTTCCTCTTTGTATGAATTGGCTTCGTTTGGACCTTCAGTTAATCCATACAGCTTGAGATGGTTCCCCATTCAAACTTGGCCCCATTAGTATGCACTTCAGGTCATAAATCATAGTATATGTACTGTATTCTCAGTTGCAGTTATATTCTGTCCTTCTCAATTGTAGCATCTGTATCTGGCCTGTTTAGGTGAGATCACCAAGCAAAACAAAGAAGCCACCAGATGCACATCTGCTGACTATGTGCAAGCAGCATTGTTGATGCTTGTTTAGTTATTTCATTGGAGGCCAGAATTTGGTCTAATAGTTGCTTTAGTGAGGCTGCTGTTTGTGCTGAGGTTTCAGCCATAGCATTTGAGTGAATAGGTAATGCAGTTGCACACATGCCTGTTGTGAATGAATGAGTATCTGTTGAATGTAGCCAAATTCAAGACTTTCTGGTAAGTATTCACTGGCAGTGAATACCTTACCAGGATTAATTGCTGCCATAACTGTAAGGTCTTCATCAGAGTTGTGCAGGTTGAGTGTTTACTGCGCCCATAAGAAAAAACTGGTTCAACTGAAAATGGCTTGTCCGAAAGACCTTTTTCCTGGTGCTGGGTCCAAGAAGAGAGTCTTGATGAAAAAGATGGCAATTATGAGGGTTGAGAATGGGGTAAAACAAGTGGACATAGCAAGGGACTGGTGAACAAATACAATTTATTCAAACCTTTTGTTAGTACGTACTTCTGATTATAAGTACTACTTTAGTTGGAATATTCAAGTACTTTCTAACAAGAGTCAACCTGTAGTTGGTGCTGTACACATTTTAAAGTGCTCTAGAAACATTAGATAATCCATTATTACCTGAATTTTAATTCCTTGAATTTTGACTTTCCAAACAATTTCTATAACCCCACTTCTGAAGGAGAATGGCACTCTATCTTTCAGATCTCTAGGCAGTAGACCAGAAAAGTTGAGACTTTGTTTCATATTGATTTTATTGAGCATTAATAGGCTTCATGAAGATCAATTTCATCATAATTGAAATGGAAGGCTCACATTTCACAGTTCTTTCAAAGTTGCTCAATTATTCCTTTATGGTTGTCTACCACAGTGGTTCTCAACCTTTTTGGTCCCACGGACCACCTTAACAACTACAAAGTGATCCGAGGCCCACTCCAGACTAATGGCAATATAATTTATTTTGGCTTACTTTAGTGAGAACGTTGGGCTTGCACATCGCTCACTAACTTGTCAAATCTTGGCTGAATGTTTGATATGGCCACACGTAGGTTTGTTGTTACGTCAAGTCGATTTCATTTGGTAGAGGTTTGGTTTAGATTAGATGAAATCCGGAATTTCTGTTCAACCCTCATTAGTGGCATGCCAGAGAGAGTGGAGGCCCTGTTCAAGGCCAAGGGTGGTCATACTAAATACTGAATGGACTTAGGAGGTGTAATCTACAGTTTTCTAATACTTACTATATGTAAATGATATTATTATGGTTTGCAAAGTATGAATAAATGAATTTCCTTGAAATTTCTAATAATTTGTTCAGTACTGTATATGCGTTTAATTCAGCATTCCTGCATTCAGCGTTCATTCCCGTCAACATCCAGTGAGATGCAAATGATGAACTGGTTGGAATACGGGTTGTACATGCCCTAGGACAGTGGTTCTCAACCTTTTTGGTCCCACGGACCACCTTAACAACTACAAAGTGATCCGAGGCCCACTCCAGACTAATGGCAATATAATTTATTTTGGCTTACTTTAGTGAGAACGTTGGGCTTGCACATCGCTCACTAACTTGTCAAATCTTGGCTGAATGTTTGTTTGATATGGCCACACGTAGGTTTGTTGTTACGTCAAGTCGATTTCAAATATAATTTATTTTGGCTTACTTTAGTGAGAACGTTGGGCTTGCACATCGCTCACTAACTTGTCAAATCTTGGCTGAATGTTTGATATGGCCACACGTAGGTTTGTTGTTACGTCAAGTCGATTTCTGGCTTTCGTCTTCATACTCGTCATGATGGAAAAGGCTGACTCACAGAGATACGTTGACGGAAAGGGCAAAAGTCGCTTAATAGCTTTCTCACTCTTAAAACCTATAAGGAACGAGTAGAAGCTGGTTTTGCACCCATCACAATCTAACCTTTCAAGAAGAAAGTCCCGAGCTAGCGAACACTCAAGTTACTCTAACAGGAGGAGGTCACGTCTGTCAAATATCTCTGGGTTTCCACAGTGGGTGAATGGATCGAGTACCCACATGTAGCCTGTCCGTGGATCGTCTTCAGGAGGAAAGTAATCTTCGAATTTCCGAAGAAGCCTTTCCAAGTGTTCTGAAATGATCTTTACGACATGCTTCTTCTTGAATTTTGTGTTGGTTGAAAAGTCAGAGAAACATGTGAACATATCAAAAGTGTTCGCGTTGACTCTCTGCTGCCATACGTGTAGCTTTTTCTTGAAGGCCTCAATTTTAGTTGCCATCCTGAACAAAGAAGCCATAGGACCCTGCAGTTGCAAGTTTAGCTCATTTAATAATCCAAATATATCCGCCAAGTATGCCAGCTTGGCTAGCCACTCGTGATCGTCAAGTAAGTCCGAGTACGAAGATTTTTTCTGCCGTAGAAAAATCTTGATTTCGTCGCGGAGTTCGAAAACACGAGTCAGTACTTTCCCGCGTGACAACCATCGGACTTCCGAATGCAGCAGTAGATTTGAATGTTCGGCGCCAAGCTCATCACAAAGTGTCTGAAAAAGGCGTGAATTCAGTGGATGAGCCTTAATAAGGTTCACAATCTTCACACAGTCACTTAACACTTTGTTGAGCTCCGAGGACATTTCTTTACTGGCCAGCATCTCACGGTGGATGACACAATGTGTCACTTGCACATCATCAGAGGCAACTTCTCGGATCCTCGCTGTCACACCAGACAGTGTGCCTGTCATGGCAGCAGCTCCATCAGTGCAGACGCCGACAACACATTTCCAGTCCAAATCGTTTTCAACAACATAGTTGTTGAGGAGACGAAAGATCTCTTCGCCCGTCGTTCGAGTCGGTATGCTTGAAACCATCATGATATCTTCAAGCATTTCAGTCCCGTGCATATAGCGTACGAAGACAAGTAATACTGCGGCATTGGAAATGTCTGTGGATTCGTCCAACTGCAGTGAAAACCACCTTGATTGCTCAAGTCTTTCCAACAGTTGATTTTCAATGTCAATCGAGATGCTGTCAATGCGACGAGCCACGGTATCATTAGACAGGGGTATATTGCTCACTTTCTTGGACGCTTCCTCACCAAGAACTTCTCTGCACGCGTCAATGATAGCGGGTTTTACGAGTTCTTCGCCGATCGTGAATGGTTTCTTGCATTTTGCGATTCTGTGAGAGATCAAGAAAGAAGCACGTAAAGCAGCAGTTCTGATGTTAGTTGCAGCAAACATATGCTTCTGTTGCGTCTTCATTTCACATCGCCTACGTTCGAAGAATTCCATCGGCTTGTCCTTCAGAGACGCGTGTTTAGATTCCAGATGACGCTTCAGTTTGGCTGGTTTCATTGCTTCGTTACTAAGAGTTTCACCACAAACAACACACAGTGGAAGAGGCGCTTCGTCACTACCAGTTTTTGTAAAGCCAAATTTTATATAACTGTCATTATATTTTCTGTTGGGCGCACCTTTCTTCATCTTCTTCTGAGCTGGTTTGGGCGAAAGGTTAAGACGAAGTGACAGTGAAGGTCTCAAGCAAACAGAACTTCTACTACGATAAAGTACTCCGAGGAAGGAGCATCAAAAGCACTTCGGTTTAGACATCTCAGGAACAAACAGGTAACAGGAATTAAGTGATAGTAATTACGCTCCAGGGCCCACAAAGAATACCGAAAAAACTTCAACTACATTGCCAACACGGTCTCAGCAGACACCTTCACAATGCCACCTCAAACGGGGTTGCCACCTTCTGTAGAGGGTCTGGACAGGGGCCTCGCATTTAGCATTGGAAGAGCACGGCCTATCCTACGCCGACATGACTTTTTTATGAGAGCTCATTAATATGGTGCTGTCATCCGCTTTTCGAACCCTCGGAAAGGGACCTGGAGGCCATCAGTGGCGGGCTTCGTGTCAAACGATCTATTTAAATCTCTCAAATCATTCATACGTGATGCCTGCCTCCTCCCCTAGGATCAGCCACACCCCACTGTCTGGCGGAGGGGTCAAAGGGGAAGTCCCCTCTCCCCTCAGAAGAGAGAAAGACAGATGACATTTAACGACCTCTTTGAGGATTAAAAGTGTAGCACGGTTGGACCGGATAATCTGTATTGTAACAGGTGACTTTCTGCCGTGCTATTCCTGTCTTAGGGTCCGTGTGTCTAACGTTTCTGCTTTCCCAAAGTCAGAAAAGTCCGATAGTCATTACTATTACATGTAGACCATGATATGATTCATCATTTTTATTTTTTAATTTAGTGATACTCGTCACGGCCCACCTGGGGCACCTCCGCGGACCACCGGTTGAGAACCACTGGTCTACCATACCCTGCAAATGCAGACCAAATTGCTGAATTGCTTTTATGAAAGACTGGATTGTGAGGGTTTCTTGTTCATGATGTTTGGTGGCCTTGAAATGTTTGAGGTCCCTTATCCTCCAGTGCTGATTGACTTCTCTCTGCCATTCCACTCAGACTGTGGAATCTACCAGATTGAGGTTAGGACTATACAGGATCCATGTATTCAGGCCGATGAAGTTGGATGTCCTCTAATTGAGAAACTGTAGCTGCTGCAAAAATGTGAAAAAGTGCTTCATCAGACTAATCAAGTAATTATTCTCTCTAGCAATAGTTTCAATATCTGTATCAATTTTGGCTCTATGTTGCAATGAAATCCTTGCTATTGGATTGGTGCCTGATATTAAAATCATTGCTGGAAGGAAATTATACTTTCCTGCATGACAGTGCACCCTTGAATGAACCTGAAACAACTGGATACTGGACTTGAACCAAATATGTGGTCCCCACAAAGTCCAGACCTTGATCCAGTAGACTACACTGTTGGGGGAGTTATTTCTATGAGTATTGGTATCAAAGGATCAGGGAGGGATCTTGAATGTCTCAAGACCACCATAGGCCATGAAAAGGGAAACATTACTAATCAGTTTTTGTGCTAAAGTAATTATGGTGGTATGATATGATGAACAATCAAGGGGTACATGAGTGACTTTTTTATACCTATAAATGATGTTGAATATTAGGGCTTTCATGTTCTTGATAATGAACTTGAAACTCCATGTTGTTCATGCTCAATAAGATCAATACAAAATTATTTTTTCTTTTTTTTTTGCCCACTCTCTGTCAAACACCATGGCCATCTATTTATACCATTGGATGTACAAATACTCACATACAAGGGAGTATGGTGGAAAAACATGAAAAACTTATGGCAAATCAGTTGTAGAAAGAGAATTTTTTCTATTATTGTCCATATAACCCCATTTGTAGCATGAGTTTTCAAAGCCTTATTGCAGTTGCCCAAAAAAAATTTGCAAAATTTCTATGCCTGCAGAGGAGACACAATTAAAGGTATTAGCAGGATCCTATGCATATGTGGTTTCATATATATGTAAATTATATTAGTCATTTAGAATCCAAATGAGGCATGAAAAGTTAGGAACTTTTTGTTTGGACACCTGTTATTGTTGAAATGAAGTCTATGGATGTTCATTGCTCAACAATAAGAAAGTTATGGAATGTTATGTTAACATGTTAATTGCCAAGGGGTAAAACACTGGTCTTCCCTTTGGGGTGATGTGACATGATGGTGTGTCACATGGTGGTTAGCATGTTAAATTCATTATTGAGTTTGGAAGTTTTTTTTTTTCTTTGTCAGGTTTTCCTTTGCTTATAGAGTATGCATCCTAAATCTTGCTAGGTTGGGGTATATCAAATTTTTCAACCATATCCATTAAAATTCTCATATGAAGACATATGGCCAAGTTAACATGTATCAAAATGTGCCATATTTTGCTGGAGAAAAGAGAGTACACTACACAGAGTCTGGAATCTATGAAGGAGTGTGGAAAATGATTTTTTCCTTGATCAATCTAGTTACCATCTGGAGGCAGGCATTGACATGGCAGTGACAGCTTTCCTGGGTATCTTTACTTCAATTACTGGTGCCATTCCCAAGTTCACAGCAAATGGTGGATCTGTCAGAGAGAATGTCGCCCTTCAGAATGTTCAGGTGGGTCTGAACCCTGTTCATTATTGGTATTTCTCTATTGATCCTGCACAAGAAGAATTCCTGCTAGTCAAACTATTGGGAGAAAATGCCCATTTTGAATCACCAGGATGCAGCAGCAATAACTAACTCTCTTTAGGCTCGTGTGCGAATGGTTCTATCATATCTCATGGCCCAATTGATCCTGTGGGTGCGCGGTCGAAGCGGGGGACTCCTTGTTCTTGGAACAGGAAATGTCGACGAAGCCCTTCGAGGTTACATGACCAAGTATGACAACTCTTCAGCTGACTTGAATCCCATTGGAAGTATTTCCAAAGTTGACCTCCGCAAGTTCCTTCATTTTTTCAGACTCAAGTGAGTTGCCTTTACAGAATGCTGTTGCAATGAGTTTCTTGAACCCCTTATTAATGTCAGCCATGCATGTGGGCATTCTTTACCCCAGGTATAAGTTACCCTCCCTTGAGGGCATTCTCCAAGCTCCTCCAACTGCAGAATTAGAACCATTACATGATGGAAAACTAGTTCAGACTGATGAAGCTGATATGGGCATGAGTTATGAAGAACTCTCTCTGTATGGGAGACTTCGCAAGCAGAATGCTTGTGGCCCATATTCCATGTTCTGTAAGCTGATCCATCTATGGCAAGACAGAGCTACACCTGAGCAGGTAAGTGAGGTTACAAGAAGCATGGATGCATGGATGGGAGGGGATGCCCAAGCATTTTTGTTCTGTATATTTATGGGAACATGAAAGGCTAGAGCTGCTGGGTCTTTCCTTGATAATAATTTTGTTGCAGCATGGAAAAAGGATCTCTGCATGAGTAAGACTAGGGAAGCACCTTGCTGTTATGCACATGCAAAAGTCCCTTTAAGCAATTTCCAATCTATTGAATTGCAGAGAACAAAGCATGTTAATGCTTTGCAAAATGGTTTCTTATATTGCACTACAGTGAGGCATGATATGGGCATGAGCATAACCCCACTTCAAACCAGCAAGAAATTGTAAAGGTACAAAAAGGTTTGAATTGGTATGGTGTGGGCCCTGCAGATGAGCAGGAAGCTTACTATTTGAACATCTGCTATTAATAATCACTTATTAATTTTGCAAACTGTGCCTTGCTTTCTAAATCAGCACTGAAAGAAATATCAGAAGTGAATGGAACACTTTCCTGACTTTTCACATTTTTATGGAGATTCTGTAGATTCATGTGAAATATTTTGTAGGTGGCTGAGAAGGTGAAGCATTTCTTCCGATGTTATGCTATCAATCGCCACAAGATGACAGTTGTCACTCCTGCATACCATGCTGAGACCTACAGTCCAGATGACAATAGATTTGATCATCGCCCATTCCTCTACAATATCCAGTGGACGTGGCAGTTCCGAGCCATTGATGAACAGGCAAGCTTACCAGGTGTCTCTCTCTGTCTAGGTTATCTGTAAAAAAAAAAGGGGCCTTTTCAACTATGCAGTCCAGTCAATCATCAATGCTCAATTATTAGGAAGCTTATTATGGAGATGTATTTTCAATATAAATCCCCAATCTCAATACAGAATGAGCAAATTTATTAGTAAATTTCAGTATACAATTGCTGAAACAGAAATTGGTGTAAGCCTAGGCTTACACCAGTGTCCACCAGAGCTGGATGTGATTGGTAAGCATGCCTCTGAAATTTGCACAAGCTCCTGTATTCAATAATCCTTTTGGCATGGTTCTTCAAAAAATACCAGGGGAAGCAAGAAAGCCATATTCTTCCTCCTTTTGATCACATTGGTGGAATCCAGCTAGGTCTCCTTCAGGGTAACACAGTTTGAAGCTGGATGCTTCACAATGATGTATGGCAAAAAAATATAGTACTTTAGATCTCTAAAGTATGGTAACAAAAAAAAAAAAACAACTAAAGAATATGTGTTCTTTCTTGGGCTATAGTGCATAACTGGCTATAACTGCAGAAACTAAAGAGTAAACTCTCTGCATCAATACCTATTGGTTCATCAGTTGTTAATTGGATAAAAGGCTGTAGAAAATGGACTGCAACTAAAGGTCAACCCAAGAAATGAATTTTGTTCAAAGAAAAGTTCATTGTGTAACGGATGACGTTAGGGGATTTGTAATTAATGCTGTGCTGCAGTTATGACTTTGTCATTCTCTTACTAGGTTGATCGCTTGTTGCATGAGAAGAAGCATGGAGCTATCAAGGACTCTGATATGACTTCAGATGAAAAGAGAAGAAAGATGCATTCCCAATCTAATGATAAAGGTGTCAGCCAGAAGCGTCTCTTCCCCAGGGCATCAAGTATGTGTTGAAAGACAAAGGTGATGGTCACCTACTGGTAGGCTGTCATTTTTGGAGATCTCATGATCAGTCATTTGCCTTGAAATATCTATCGATGTTGATCTACTACGTAGTACTTTTCCATATTTGAAAAATTGTATCATGCCTTATATTCAAATTTCACAATTTTTTACTCCACTATATTCTAAATGCTGCTTATCAAATGATGAAATTCAGTTAAAAGCAATTGTTGATACTTGAATCATCTAATGGGATCTGCAGAAATATGGATATTACCTTCCTTTGATCATTTTTGCTTCCTATGGGTAGTAACCTATGGATTCTTCCTTGTGCTTAGACCCCATGGAGTAACTTAGACCTATCTATCAGAAAGTTACTGTTTTTCTTTAAAATTTTTAGGAAAAGCTAGTAAAGTTCCAAGGATGAGACAATGCAGAGAAAACCTGCTAAACACTCAAAGAATCAAGGAAGAAGACTGCCACATTGATGATCCCAGTGATGATCACCAGTGCACTAGCAAATAATTGCTTCCTCAGTACAAAGGCAAAATTTTGTTTTTGCTTTGGAAAAAAAAACTATGAAGTAATAGACTTGATGTTAGAGATGTGAGAAGCATTTTAAAGTTAAAACTATGCCAAAGTAAGTCCATTTTTTAAATACTTAGTGCCACAGATGAAAACTGAAAATTATCAGACTGCTTGCCTTACAAGCTCCTCCACCAAATTCTGTAGATTATATTTTATGTGAGCATTTCAAAATGCCTAAATGGTTACACATATTGATAGAAGTTGTCTACATTATGCCTATAGTGCTTCTCAGTTGTTTAACTGTCTTCTTTCTTTGGACATTGAAATCAAGCTTTTTATTTAATGTTAGTGGACAGCATATCTATTTGAATTCCAGCATTAGAGGGAAGACTGTTGCTCCACACTTGCAAAATAATAACCCAAAGTTTTGAATTTGTAACTTGACATGTATATGTTTCCTTCCTTTATATTATTTAATAATTTATTCTTTTTTTTTTTACATTTATTCTTGAACTGTAGGCCCTGAGGGGCTGTTGCTTCAGGATATCTTATCTTTTTTCATTTTCTCCACTGCTCTTCATGCCTTTTACTATTTTTTAGTGCTTATCTTGTCTTCCTTTGTCTTATCTATTATCCAATATAGATTTGAAGAAGAATAGCTAAGTTCAACCAAGTTTGTATGTCACTTTAATTTTTTCACCAGATGGTCTGTATGGTAAACTTCCTTCAATGCTATTGCTCATTCCTTGTTTGATTTCTTATGCAGCAGGTGAGGAGGCCAGTGGTGTAATGGATGCAAGCTCCTCTCCAGTACAAGTGTGAAACAGGGCATTTGATCATGCAAGACATATCACTCTAGTCTGAATCTGTCCAAGTTTAGGATTATTTATTTTTCTCTGTTTTCTTAACACTTTATAGTTCCAGAGCATTTCCTTGAAGTCTCTATTCTAAGAAAACTTGGCAAGTAGAACAGTATACAAAGTCCATTTTCCTTGCAAATATGTATATATGGATTAACTTGTCATAGAGCAGATGTAACTGATGTGGGAGGAAATAAGTATCATTTTTCCCAGCTTGCAGATGCAGTATATGCTTCAAATAGTTCTATTGTAGCTGCATATACTTAGTTCAATTGACCTACTGTCTTCTTTCTTTATTTTTAACAATTGCTTAAGCTGAGTCATTGGGACTTTTGGTTATTCTTGCTGAACTAGAGTAGAATGTCTACAAAGAATATATTAATTTCCTTAGGAAAACATTTTCTTTCTTCCCTTGCATTCTAAGCTATTGCTGCATGATCAAAGTAAAAGAAAAGCCATCTATTATTTTGACTGTTCCACAAAATTATAGGCACCTCTAGTTTCACATGCTTAATGATTGCTATTTTTAGCTGTTAGATCAACAAAGCATGAGGCATTCAGAACTGAACTTTTTAGAAGTAGCTCAGGACATTCCATGGTTAATGTTAGGTGTTTTGTTATTGTTTCAGAGTAGAATAGAGAGGGATAACATCAGACTCTTTTGCTCATTTTTGTTTTCTAGTGTGTTGGCAATAAAGTGAATATGAGAACTCATTTCTGTGACACTACACAAGAAGGTGTCTTTAGAGGTTATTGTTTTCCCTGCTTTGCCCTTGTCAAGTAATAGAAAATACAGCTGATGTTCTTAGCAATGAATGACTTTCATCTGGACTTGTCTTTTCCATATGATGACTGACAACAAGAAGAGCTATGCCTCTCTTTGTTGGATTCTCCATCCATTTTGTCTTATGATCATTGTGCTGTCGTATCGAGTTATCTTTTTACATTAACCCTTTTAGTGCAGTGCAGCTGATTTTTCAGCCATACTTAAAAAAATGCTATAGGCCAAATTTTTATGCCATCTAAGAAGAACCCCAACTACATGAAGATAAACACCTAATTGAAAGCCATGGCTTTAGTGCCATGAGGCTGATTTGCCTCATGGCACTAAAAGGGTTAAGGTAATTTAATGGTGCTTTTCTGTTGACTTCAACAAACTAAAGGAATTTGCTTCACAGAATGCAATTGAAAGGTGCTTCTTCTCAATTGTGCAGGTCATGTGTTCAGAAAGCTCTTAATTAGCTGTGTAAGGGTTCCATAATTTGACTAGAAATAATGCCTATTTATATCATTCCTGGACTTTTCTTTCCAAATTATCCTTTTTGTGAAAGGCAAAGCATGTGGTGTATGCATCAGACAGCTGATCTTTCATTTGGTTAGAACTGTTCATTTGATTCTAAGCCCAAGGCTGAAGTTCTACAATAAGTTCTGTGTTCAGAAGTGCCCATGCAGTCATGGTGAGGTGGATATTGATAGTTGGCCTGAGCATGAATCATCTGGAACCAACTGCTGCCCTTCCTGAAAATGCTTATTCCACCTAAACACTTAGATTTTCTATTGACAATCATTTCCTTATGCCATTTCAAGTAGATTGTCAGTCGAATTCAATTCATGCCTCTCAGAGTGGTGCCTCACTCATCATTGCCCAATCTGTAAGGAAATAACTATCACAATAAAGTTTAAGAACAGATCTATGAAAGTTTTAATGAGATGCAACTCTGCAGTAGTGTTGCATAATGAGCATTCAGACACACAGTCAAGGTCATATGATCTAATTTATGCAACTCTTCTACCATTGCATGCCAGCAGAACTGCAACCAGGGTCTTAGAATTAAATGAACAGACCTTGTATGACACAGAGGAGTGAAGACTATGGCAAGTTGCCTCTGACACTGATCCTTAGATCTCTCTTTCGTATCCTACAGAGAGCTGAAGGGAGATTTTAGTTCCTTGTCTGCCTATGATTTGTGTGAGTGATTTTATAGTAAGACTGCATACCTATCTGGTATGCAGAGTGGTAATGATGAGAGTATTGTGGTGATACTTGACAGATACTCCACAGAAGGACCTTCTCTAGAAATTCTTTGCTTTATAGTTTGAAGTACACTTGAACTCAGATCCTGGTGTCTAGAATGTTTAATTTTATGGATTAGCCCCTTCTGTGTCTGTTTTTTTACCTAAAATTTGGTCCAAGTAATGTCAATTTATTTTATTCTGGATTTATTTCTATATTTCTATATTTTGATATTTTGGATTTTGATTTATTTCAATAACAGAACATATCAACTTGTGACATAATTTGGCTATATTTAAAGTGTTATATCTATATTTCCATAGGCATGCACAAAGAGGGAAACATGTATGCAGTGGTGTGCCCAAGGGGGGGGGGGGGGTTGAGGGTCATAACCAACCCCTTGGGATGCATTTTATATGTTCAATTCTCAAGCACTTTAAATTTAGCTGCAAATACAGGGTGGGTTACAAATTTTTCATTTGTCAATCCCCTTTGAGATTTTTTGAGCACACTACTGCTGTATGCACTAATATTTACCGCCTTCTGTGATTTGCCTGGGTTTAAATCATTTCTGATCATCTCAGTGAAGCAGAACTCTCTTCAGAGTTTCATATGACTGAGGTAATTGCTGTCTCTCTTTTCAATGCAATTCAGTTCTATTTTCCTTTTACCTCTGTGCAGGTTATGAATGATAAAGTACTGACTAAAGTGAAATTTAAAATGAAGAGAGCTGTCCTTCAGATAAAAAATTCACCTGTTAATGGAGTTCCAACCCAAGAGGAACTTCTGGCCACTCTCAAGAAACATTTCAAGCACAAAGACTTCCGAAGCCAGCTGCAGAATGATGCTGTTCGAACAATAGTAAGAGGTATGCTTGCCTTTATGGTTTCAGTATTGTAAATTGCAACTGGCTATTATATGATCCTGGCCATTTTTCATGGATTTCTTTACTTGTAGGGACTCAAGATGTTCTTGTCATCATGCCAACTGGGTCTGGGAAGTCTCTCTGTTACCAGCTGCCTGCAGTGCTTTCTCTTGGGAAAGTCACAATTGTTATCTCCCCTCTTCTTGCACTTATCAAGGCATTGACTTCCTTATGCTTCCTTTGCCAAAACAGTCAAGTAAATTTCAGGATAGCTCAGGAGATCCTTTTATTTCAGAACTATGAGTGATGTTCAGAAAGTTCTGGAAATTTCATTAGTGTACAAAAGGAAATTGAGCTTAACCTATTCTTGTCAGAGGTTTTGGATGAAGGTTTACCTTATTTATTATTGAATTCAGTGTTGCTGCCTGAATAATCTCTTGAGCAGAGTTATTCATCTCAATTCAATTGTATTTTTTGAAGCCATGGAAGACATGATGAAAGCTCAGCAAGCAATTACAATCTCTGTTATAACGTCATCAAAGGGACCAGGGAGAATCATCGTTATAACCAAGGTTGCCTTTATTGACATTCTGTTTTCCTGTTTTCAAAATGGATGCTTTATAATGACCAATGTACACTCCAGCGTTCATTAGTCATGCCACACTAGCTTCGGTTTCAGGATTTGACCCACTAATCTTGATGTTCGCACTTTTTTGGACCTTGAACTACTTTATACTTGTACTTTGTAGATCTGTCAAGATGACATTGACAAGGCCTTGCCAAAGTTCCTCGTTTTGTGACATGTTTGCATAAGCATGGATGAAGCTGTCAGGATTTTCCCAATTTGTGGATACAGATGAACAGAAGTCCAGGTTCACATGCAACGTTAGCTTTACTTCCCCTACTTTCTATTAAACTAATCATGCTCACTTTCCTTTCAATTGTGAAGGCTTGCCTCTCTCACTTTCCACTGGCCAAGTTGTCAACAAGAAATGCAAATGGCGACTGAAGGTGAGATTATCTATTTAGTTACTGAGGATTAACCCTCCCTCACCCTCCTCCAGTCACATGACTCTCAAGGAATGCTGATTCCAGGAAATATAATGTTATGGCTTGCCAATGCTAATTTTTCTGATGATGGAAATCCCAGTTAAGAATGACGAATTAGGGACAACAACATTGATGATTTTGTCAGTGGGACCTTGAATGGACTTCGTTATAACTAAGGTTTTCACTATAACTGAGGTAAAATACAATGTGCCTTATGGGCTTTATGCTGGGACCTGGCACTTTTCATCATTATAACTAAGGTTTCGTTATTACTGAGTTCAACTGTATTTTCTTTTTGTGGAGAGAAGGTGCATGTGGTTCTGAGAGTGTTCAGAGGCTGCAGACTGTCTTTGGAAAATCTGCAGAATCGAAGAGTACTGTTTACCAATGGCTGGAGCGATTTAAGGATGGTTGCCAGACCTTAGAAAAGGACCCTTGCAGCAGTTGCCCTCAAATGGCTACCACCGATGAAAAAATGCAGAAAATATTCTAATGAAAGTTTGATGAGTTACCTTTGAGGAGCTTGCTACTACCCTGGAGGTCAGCACTGGCAAAGCTCATGAGATTCTCCTTGAACATCTCAGTATGACAAAGGTTTCTGCCAGATGGGTGCCTCGCCTGTTGGGGCCTCAACAAAAGGTGATCGTATGGAAAAGTGTCAAGAGCTGCTTCAACTTAGCCAAGAATACAAGGAGAGTTTTTTCGACCATATTATCACTGTAGAGGAGATGTGGCTTCCCTACTTCAATCCCAAGACCAAATTGCAATCCAAGGATTGGTGCCAATCTGAAGAAGGACCTCCTTTGAAGGCTTGAACTATTCCCTCTTTGGGAAGGTTATGATTATGGTTTTATGGAATTGCAATGGGATAATAGTGATTGATTACCTACCAGAAGGTACCACAATGAATGCAGAATACTATTCTAATCTGCTTTTGGGTCCTCTCTGACAGCCTCTTAATGAAAAACGCCCTGGGAAGTTACATTCATAGCCACTTCTTCAGCAGGACAATGCAAATGTGGAGAATGCGCAGTGTGGGGCACACCACGCACTTAAATAGAGCAGCCATAGAAGTATCGAGGTGGGAATTGCTCCTGCATCCACCCTACTTTCCAGATCTGGCTCCCAGTGACTACCACCTCTTCAGCGAGATGAAGAAGCCTCTGTGAGGAGTGTGTTGATTCCCTCATTGCAATGAAAGATGCACTCAACAGGTGGATCAGAAACACTCCAGAAAATTTTTTCTGATGGTCTAAGGAAACTGATTCCATGCTGTAGGAAGTGCATCAAACTCAGGGAGGACTATGTTGAAAAGTCACAGTATAATGGTGATGAATAATGATGTTACCCAGAAATTAAAAGTAAATTCCCAGAACTTTCTGAATGCCCCTCGTATACCTTGCAAAATGAGCATGAATGTGTGCCTCTAAATAATATACATATAGCCCTAATATAGCCAGAGTATGAGAAATATCTTGAAGGGAAGTTCACTTTTTTACAACTTGAGCACTATATGTAAGTCCAGATGATAGAAAGCCATTTGCCAAAAGTCATTCATTTATTAGATCAGCTAAGAAGATGCATTGAGACCAAAGTGTAAATATTGTCACTCCTTGTAGGAAAGGGAAGAGGTGTTATTCTTGTACAGGTGTCTGGCAAAGGAAAAGGAGTGGGAAGTGATTAGGTCACCCAAACACATGACATCTCTTCCCCTTTCTTCCATGATGTCATCAGTTTCATTTGGTGCTCTTTGTATATCCTTAATGGATTGTCTTTATAACTGTGAGGTCTTTAGCAATACATTTTTTTAATCATGACTTACAGGTGAAGCTCAAATTATAAGTCAGGATAATGTCTGACCTAAGAATCCCTACTATACAACTTCTCCCTATGTAATGTCTGATTCTGAGCTTATGTTCAAGTTTCACCCATAAAAGAGCAGCAATTTGCAGATTTGACTGATCTTAAGGGGACTATGGATGAGCTTGAAAATCTTGAAGAAACCTGAAAGCATTTTCCGTAGTGACCTCCACCCCCTAACCACATCTTAGCCCAACTTGTGTCACTATAACCAAATGGAACATGGGACTTAAATAAAACAGAACTTTCCTGAGTGGCTTGGGTGGGTGGCCTTCAAGCTTCATGGGGTCTTCCACCCCACCCAAATTTTTGCCTCTGCACACTATTGAAACTTGGAATGAAAATATGACAGTGAGAGGTGATAATGATGAAGATTCTCTTTGAATATTCTGAACAACTCTCCATCATATGCTTGTCTTCCTCTCACTGTCAATCTAGGACCAAATGGATCACCTGGCAAAGCTAAAAATCCAAGCTCGATCCATCAATTCTAAAATGAGCGTTAAAGACAGGAAGGGTGTATACCTGGATTTGTCAAGCAAAGTCCCTGACACAAGACTTCTCTACATCACTCCAGAGCAGGCTGCATCTCCTCATTTTCAAGTAAAGTTTCTTTTCATCTCTGTAGTCATTCTTTGATCAGAAGGATCTGTGAATGTCCAGAGTGCAAGTTAGTCTATGGTTGTGAAGATATCTGAGTATGTTCAATCAGGGACTCTTGGGGAGGCTGTACAAGGGAAACAAGCTTGCATACATGGTGGTTGATGAAGCTCATTGTGTGAGTCAGTGGGGGCATGATTTTCGACCAGATTACCTTAAATTAGGTCATCTGAGGGAGATGATCCCTCAAACTCATTGGATTGCCCTGACTGCCACAGCTACTCCACAGGTAATGATTCTTTTAGTTCCAACTGATGATTGCCAATGCTGTAAGAACATGTGAATGAATTACTTACTGCTTACTGAATGAAACAAATCTCCTGCAGGTGATAGATGACATAAAGAAGCAATTGATGTTGGGGGAACATGTGGCAATGTTCACAGCCTCTTGCTTTCGACCTAACCTCTATTATGATGTTGTCTTCAAGGATGCAATGGATGATCCATATGCAGACCTCATAGGATTCATTTATGATTGCTTAGGAGAACATTGGGAGTGTGAAGAAAAAGTAAGCCACTAGTATTCCTCCTCTTCCTTCATTGCTCTCCCTGCAGCTAGCTGTCTCAAGGCAGAGAAACTTGCTAAAAATTTTATAAAAATGTCTGAATATCTGCTTAAACATACCTAGCAACCCCAAAAACTGTCTTCTCATGCCTAACTTCCTGTCTGTAAGGGAAACCCCTTAGCTGAATTATTATTTGTATGTTCTAGATATAGCTCTGCAATATGACCACCCCTCTCCTCCCACCTCTTACAGTTGGATTCAGACAAGTTTCAGGAATCAGATGTCATACAAATATGGAAAAATAGCACTGAAATTATTCTTCTATATTTTTTTCTCAAAAATTTTGTTTTTAATTTTCGAAATGATACTTTCAGTTGCAAATAAGCAATTATTAAAAGTTTCATTATTTTGAAGTTTGCTGTCATTGCACTCAAAGCATGGTGTTGTTTGATTGGAAAAGGTGTGATATTCCACTTCATTATGCTCTATATCCTTGTAATTCTCTTGCCTCTCTTTGGTCTTATCTGCAATTCATATATGATGAATGCCCAAAGTGGCAGCCATAGACAATACTGGTTCAGAGCTCCACCTTGTGCTGGATGCATGAAGAATTTTGTTGTATATGAAAATTAGTTATTTTACTTTATGTTTGCAGAGAGAAGTGGGGAGTGGCATCATATATTGTAGAACAAGGGACTCTACAGAGGAGGTTGCCCGTTGTGTATCAAAGAAAGGGATCCCTGCTCATGCTTATCATGCAGGTCTGTCTTTTTTCAATGTAGGATGTAAGATATTCATGATGCTTCAATGCTTGGGTGGTTGGATATACATAAGTGCCATTGTGGCCGATGTTATCAGGTGCTACTTTTTGTGAGTAGGAATTGTAAATGTTGGCAACTTAAGATATTCATAATTCCTGATTGTCATTATTTTGCCATGGGGTGTTCGCAGTCAAAAAGAAAGGGGATTCATGGGGAAGAGGTGGAGGAGTAAAACTGTATTGTCTATTTCCAAACATGTCATTATCTATAGGCCTAGTACAGAGTGATAGATAATAGTGCTTAGCATTAAACTATACTATCATCAGCTTGTGTAGCAGTTTTTTTGTGCCTCTCTATAACATGCCCTCAAAGGGTCCAACCTACTGGACATCACACCCTATAGGCTGCCTTCTTTGCAGAAATAGCCAGCCATACATCTAGTATCCATCAGGGAGTCTGCTGGTGTTACTGCATGCCATTCTGATTCACTTTTTGCCACATACTTCCACTGCTGAAGCTGAAACGCCAGATAAAAAATAGATCCCATTTGATCTCTATATCAGTAATCTTGTGGGGGTAGTTGGAAACAATTTTCACCAGTTGCCCTTGCCAGCTCACCACAAGTTTTATAATTGTGGAGTGCTTCCAACCTCACCTGTTTTTCATTGTGTGTGGTTTTCGGCCCTGTTCTGAGGTTTTGCCTGCATCTGGAGTTTGCTATTCACTAGATGGTGGTTGGTGTTCAGTTTGGCCCCATGCCTTACCTTCATATCCATAGCAGGTTCTGCAAGTCAGCTGGAACGTTCATATTGGCAATCATATTGGTGAGCAAGTGCTGGTGCACAGTACCAGCCTGACAGCCAGATCCCCTGTGCCAGTTGTACTGGTGGCAGTCCTTGTGCTGGAAGAAGGTGTTGGTAAGTCCCCCTCAGCAAGCTTGAGCTGTGGCTGAAGCAAAACATGAGGCATGGAATAAATTCAGCAAAGAAATGGAACACAGCTGCTGCACTGCTAACTAGGTGTTCTGGCAAACAATTGGAAGGCTCTGGCAAGGTGGGTCATGAAAGACTGGAATGGGAAGGTATTGGCTGCTGAAGTGGAAATATACAACTAAAAAAAAAACCTTAGCAATGGGGTATCCCTGGCTGGGAATGAGAAAATTGCCAAGAATCCTGAGCCCCATTTGAGGCAGTGCCACAATTGCCCCTTCCTCTGGGCCCCATTCATTACAGTATTACACATCTCCCTCTTTCTCTGATTGAATTCATGTCCTACTAAGAAGGGGAATGAGTCAGGGTCATGGGATTGTGTGAGATGGGAACCAAGAAGGACCAGACTGCCTTGGAGCTTGGGATCTGTGAGGGCGTATGCCTTTTCCTTTCCATGCCTGCTCCACTCAGGTTTTTTTTTTTTTTTTGAAAGCTGGAAGGTAATATATTCAGTGATCAGCCACACACAATAATGTTCCAACAACTAAACTTTCATTGCACTGATACCCCTGTAGTGATATAGAATAGCAACATGCAAGCATGTATGTCACTTCAGATATGTTATTGCTATGCTTGCTTAGTTGTTGAAAATTTCTGGTGCTGCCAGGGACATAGCCAGGAATTTTTTTTCGGGGGGTGTTTTATGAGGTTCTTTCAGGCTCATGAGATGACGAAGTGGGAAGCCCCCCCCCCCCCCTCACCCACTCTCGTACTCCTTTGTTACATGAAATCTTGCTTCATTTCAGGGGGTGTCCAGACACCTTGGCCCCCCCCCCCCCCCTGGCTACGTCCCTGGGTGCTGCGGCCCATCACTGAGTACATGCCCTTAACAGGCATTACATTGGGTATTTTACCCTTCTTCAGAGGTGGAACACTTTGAGGGGCTCTTATCCCTTTGAGTGGTATGATCATACATATATGGCTACACCATCTGTGCCTGTGGGAGTACAGCTGTATGCAGTGTTGGGCGGTAACGAAGTAAAAGTAACGCTTTACAGTAACTAATTACTTTTTTCAGTAACTTTTTTGGTAATGAGCTACTTTTCAGGGGAAGGTAACGGAACTGGTAACTAGTTCCTTTTTCATGGGAAAATTATGTGGCGTTACTGTAATGCGTTCCTTTTCTTCATGATTAATCAGGGCCGGATAAAGAAGTTGTGGGGCCCGGGGCAAGTGGATTTTTGGGGCCCCCTAAGGCTAGGCCAAAAATAATTATTTAACCTTGACCTAATTCACGGGCAACTGCGCATACTTATAATTCCAGTTTATTGGTTACCATATAATGCTCAGAGAGAATATATTTGTTTGCTAAATAAATAGAACAGGAATCTCTTGCCTTAAATCATCATTAGGAGGATGGTTCTCTGTCTTTCTGGGCGTGTTTCAGCCAGTTTCTGCTGAAACATTCTAGCATGCTCTGGAAAAAAATTGTACTGGATATTCAAGAAATTCCGAGAACTTTCTTTCCAATCAGATACTAGCATTCAAAGAGCGACGGCCGATGCACACTGACAGCAAAGAGCTGCGGCAAAGCGCACTGCCTTCACTTCTGTGAAGTTCGCAGTTATTTTTTTTTTTACTGAGACCATACGTGAAGCATCACCCACACTGGTCGCAGAGCACCAAGCGGAATCCAACATGTGGAACTTGAGGACTCGTGCTGCAAAAATTTTGCTTTTTGTGGCCCGAGGGAGAAAAAGCTCTGGACAGTAATAGAAACGTCCTGTCCACGTGACTCCCCATCAGATAGGAGAATTAATGACTCTAGCAGTAAAGATTATCACCGAAGATGAGGGAATGATTTTTCTATTAAGTTATGTCCATGCGAACGTCTCCCGAGCTGTTGAAGTTCTTGTTCTTTCGGAGGGGGAAGACAGGACACAAACTTCAAACTGTGTATTTTCCTATCGCGAATTGTGGCAGTGACCTCGAGTAGGTAAATGCACAATCTATACAAATATTCCGTGCATCTCAAATATGCATAAATCATGGAGCACTATCAGGGCCGGATTAAGAAGTTGTGGGGCCCGGGGCAAGTGGATTTTTGGGGCTCCCTAAGCCTTAGCCAAAAATAATTATTTAACCCTGATCTAATTCACGGGCAACTACGCATACTTATAATTCCAGTTTGTTGGTTACCATATAATGCTCAGAGAGAATATATTTGTTTGCTAAATAAATAGAACAGGAATCTCTTGCCTTAAATCATCATTTTCCACGCTTTCGCTGCAGCAAATTCGGAGATCAGGTCTTCGAAGGAAACTTTCCTTAGGAGGTCGTGCTCTATGGACATGAGCGCCAGTGAATTCAAGCGAAGTTGCAGCATTGTAGATCGAAATTTGTTTTTGATGTATGACAGTTTTGAAAACGATCGCTCCCCCTCGCAGTTTGAGATGGGAAGAGTCAAATAAAGCCTAAGAGCTATGGCAACATTCGGGAAAACATCTACCAAGCCTCTTGTGTACAGCATGTTCAGAAGTTTTGGCGCTGTCCTCTCGCAATCCCCAAGACTTGAATGTCGAATGAAAGACACAAAATGTTCCAATTCACAGTAAAAGGCTGGCTCTAAATCTCTTGGGTAAGCTTGAATTAATGTTTCAGCCTCTTTTTTAAGATCTTCCGTGGAGTCTAGTTTCATTAGAACTCCGAACAGACTGGCCACCTCACTGTAAGCAGATGATCTTCGTTCAAGTTCGATCTTCAGCTTGTCGATGATAACGTTGAAAGTTTCAATCCGGAATCGATCTCGCCCAGTCGCTTTCAACTCATCCTTCCCGTCTGGGAACAATCGAGCTCGTGGTCGCGTATTGCGAGTCTCATCGAAGTATGTCTGAAGCACGTGCGGACTTAGGTTCTTGGATTCTACTTCAATGTCGTTGAAACATTCCCGAAGTTTGGCAACGTAGTCAATGAGGGAGACAAGCAAGTTTTTCCCAGAAACGACGTCAAGCTCAGGTTTCTGTAAGTGTTTGCTCACCCTTTCAAATCTTTCAAGGATCTTGTTCCAAAGAACTGTCATGAATGATAATTCAAGAGTCTGCATTTTTTTCATGAGAGATTCAGCTTGCAGTTTTGTGTCGCGCTTTTCATTGGTGCCGTTGGCGATAGCATGTAATGCCTCGAAAATGCTATTATAATATTGTGCTAGAGCTTTGGTTGCCTCTTCCCTCGACGACCAAAGAGAGATTCAGCTTGCAGTTTTGTGTCGCGCTTTTCATTGGTGTCGTTGGCGATAGCATGTAATGCCTCGAAAATGCTATTATAATATTGTGCTAGAGCTTTGGTTGCCTCTTCCCTCGACGACCAACGCGTCCTGGAGAGACTTTTGACCGGAGCAATGTGCCTGTCGAGTCTTTCAGAAATGTTGAGCGTCTCTTCGAACTGCCGGGTTGCTGCACACCTTAAGCGTTTTTTGTGTATGTCGCTAAGGTCCTTTGCCTTTTTAAAGTGACGAACTTCTGTAAGTAGTTGCGACAAAACAGGTTGGTTGTTTAGCGAATGCGCTGCGCAAGGGACAAAGAGAGCATGTTTGTTGATGTCTTTAATATGGGCCTGCAGGCCTTCATATTCTCCTGACATGTTCCTGGCGTTGTCATAAGTTTGTCCCCGGCAATTACTTATATCGATGTCATTGTCTCCGAGAATAGCGAGCACTGTGTCTCTCAAAGATTTTCCCGTGTGGCTGCGTATTGGTACGAAAGGGGCGGGGGGGGGGGGGGGGGGGGGGGGGGGGGGGGGGCCGCTCCCCCTGGCGCCCCTAAGACAGAGCCTGGCGCGCCCTTAGAGGTAATATTTTTCTCTCCCGATATCGCTCCGATGGGGTTTGGCTCTGTTGCCCTGCTTCCTCTGACCCTTTCAACCAAAATGCAACGCTGCATCGAAGCAAACTAATGTGTGAAGTGCTCTCTATGTTTCCTGATGGCCAAGGTAATTTCTGTCGCGCGAACTTCAGCATCTAACTTGAGAAAGCATGTCTAGATTAGCTCCATCGTGTCCTGACTCCATACAGACATGCTTTGGTCCTAATAGTACATCTGCACGGAAACCTTTCGTATGCCTAACGTTGGCACCTCTCTCCTCAATTTTGTCCGATCCCCTTTAGGCTCGGCGGGCGGGTATGCTCTGGCTACCTCACCATATTTCAAGTGCCCCCGTTTTATCACCCTCCCAACAATCCATCATTAGATTCTATGAATACTCAAGCCTATCACTCGCACTTCCAAGTGTAGATCCTAACCTAACACACAGTGATTTGCGAGTGAATTTGTATCACTTTTAACATGAACGCCTCAGACCCTATTCCCCATATTTAATGGTCGAAACACCATCTCCTTGATTGCGCCATAAAAATACCATATACATTGAAAATGAATTTTCGGCTGTTCTGCAACTAGAGGGGCCACGCAGATAAGGCTAGGCGCTCGAGATAATAGACATCACCTCATTAGCTCGACTAAGCTAGTTAGTCGTTAAGATGTGGCCCCTCCAGTTGCGGAACAGCCTGTCTGGTTAAGGGGAAACAAGAGAACGTGTCTTCAATTTTTCCATCGGGAACTCATGGTAGGGGGCAGGGGGTAGGTCTTCCCATCACCATTGGTAAAATTGACATTTCTTTAAAACTAAAGGGTGCATTTTGATTATCAGCATATAATTCCCATTAAGTAGCCCATGGGAAGGGAAGAGGTACAGGGAAAGAGTGACCATGAGCAATTATCCAGTGCAGTGATGATCATAATTTAATTTTCACGAAATCAGGGGTAACTTTCGTTTTCAGTGCATGCATCCAGCTTCTGTCAGAGAGGTGGAGAAGCTGTAGAAAGATCAGAAATTTTGTTCAGGAAAAGTAACTTCTACTTTTAACTAGTTACTTTTGGTGAAAAGTAATGGGTGACCGAAAAAAAAGTCGTTACAAGTATAGTGACTTTATTACAAGACAATGTGATACAATTATGGTTAAAAATCACCTCGAATCATTATGATGTTTATTCTAAGTCCATTGATAGTCTTTCTTGATAATCTGTTTGCTTTTCATGGTGATTACAGCATTAAATCTCTTTGGCATTGAATCAATTAATCTGTGGCAAAGAGTTTTGTCCTGATTAATTTCACGCCAAATCATAACAAGGTCCTTTTTCATTGATTTGAATTATGTGTATTCCTTGGCAGCCAGTCTGTCTTTTATTATTGCCTAGACATTCTCAGTGACCCAGGTATCTGCAAATTTAAATAATTTAAGAAATGATGCAAGAATGTCTCTTGGAATGTTGTCAAGTTAATCAACATTTTCCCCACTTCTGAGAAACTTCTTCACTTCACTTGTTCTTTCCCTTGAACTGAGTTCAACCACAGATGGATACTTAAAAAAAAAAACCTATCTGTAGCCTGCCGAAGCTTATTGTATTGTCATCCATGTCGCTTGGATGAAAATAACTGGAAGAATAAATTTGTACAAAATGTAAAGCTGTAACAACTTTTTTTTTTGGTCACCCTTTAATTCTACTGGTAACTAATTACTTTTTGGATGGAATACTTATAATTGTAACTAGTTACTTTTCACAGGTAATGTGCCCAACACTGGCTGTATGGGTACATACCTTGAAGGTTGGGAGATATGGAAATGAGATTAACAGCTGCATCTCCAGGACTTCTGCAGTTTTTACTGGAACTTTGGTAAATTGTGGTTGTAAAATCTAGCATTTTCAATGAGGTGAAACTTAAGGTTTTTAAGAGTGTTTAACTCTCTGCCCTCACCAATCATCATGAATTTTGAGTAATAACCAAAAGGAACTGGTCATGGATACAAGCAACCAAAATTAGGTTCTTGTAGTGGGTGGCCATTGTCAAAATCTGTACTACAAAACACCATTCCTTGGATTCTCTCATGCTATCCCTGAACCAA